GGTATTCTCAGCAACCTGTCTTGGATCGCATTCATGGAAGAAAGGGTCGGAAGCAGACCGCAATCGGCACTTACTGCGTCACTATAACTGACAGTGCTCGTGACAGTTGAGCGGGAGGCAGCTTTCAGAGACTCAATATCGGCCTTGAGGGACTCTACCGTGGTTTGTAGAGTATCGATCTGCTTCTCCTTCTTGGTTTTGAAGCAGCAAAAGCAGATAAACGGCTCTGCATCTTCTGCACTGAGTTCTTTGAATGCCTGCTCACTGACACTCGCACAATAGTAGATACTTTTGACAACTACCCGCACAGAACAGTATCGCGTTGAACTTTTGTAGACATATGCAGCATGGGTCCTGCTTGGCTGCAAGGGCCACCTGGGCCTTACGTTGAGTCTTCAACTTTTCCGGCATCTATACCCCGCCATCCATTTTCAGTTACATGCACATCAATCGAAGCTCGGTGGCAGCAATTCATTACTAATGACCATTCTCTAGACTACAGGAACCGTTCAATACATCTTAATCTGCTACTCTTGATGATGGAGTTCGAAATTGCTGATATTATGCTATTGTATTAAGTTTCCAATATCTGCGTTTTGTTCAGTTCTGTACATTCAACTGGAGCTGCCCATGGTTTAAAGCTGAAACACTCTCTCTGTATGAGTGACTTTGAAGGGAACTTCTATTTTAACCGAATTCCTCGACTATGGAATGCCTTACCCTCATTCGATATAACGCCTTCTCTTTCTGCAATTAAATCAAAGATACGAGAATGTTTCTGGACCATTTCATGTCCACCTTCAATTCAAACATTGTGTGTACATACCACTATCTTTGTCCTTGCTCTAAGTGCTCAAAGATTTTAGTGATTCTTTGTAATGTTTTGGTTTTGTGTTTTATTAACCCTTGGCGCGCATGTGTCTGTCTGTCTATTCTCGCACTACAGGCTACGAGGCGGCTTATGAGTGATACCAACAGTTTTAGCGGTACATGGGCTAGAAAAATAAAATGGGGATTTTTATGAAAAACTGACACGGTCGCGGACTGCGTTGCGTGGCCCAACCCATCAATAAGCGGTGCGCATGCGTGTATTAGACGCAGTATGCTGGCTCACTTCGACCTGATCCGCTTGCTCTGTGTTATACCTTGAGGCACAAGAAGCCACAGCGAAGGATGTGTATCGACTCCCGCATGCTATCTACTACTGTAGCTAGCCAGTGTCAGACTCTCCGCAAGCTACTAGCGGGAGACCGCGATTAAACGCCAATAGCCCATCCAATCCATTAGCGGTACCGCGCATACGCAGTTCGCCGAGGGTTTGCTCTTTAGTGCTTTTAATTTTTGTTTTGCTGCTGGCTAAACATAGTAGCTTTACGAAAATCGCCTTTTTTAAATCAACCCAGTGTAGCATTGAACCCGATCATATCGCTATTTACCTGATTTCGTGCGCGCGGTGGCAGAAAAAGACTGCGCATACGCTATACTGCTCACGTTTAGCTGGTCCTCAAGTTTCTGCACTTGTCCCTGAAGCTCTCGTCGCGAGTCTGATACGGGCTAGCTACAGCATGCGGGAGTCGATACATGCCATTCGTTGTGACTTTCTGAGCCCAAAAGGTACACAGAGCGAGCGGATCAGGTCGCGGTAAGCCCAGTACGATTATGAACATTGCGGACATACCTTGCTCAATCTGTTGTCCATCGAGAACAGAGATCAACAATGACTGAGGAGAGAAAAACCGCTTGCTCGTCCAAGGTCAAGAGAACAGAGATCAACAATGACTGAGAAGAGAAACTCTTGCTCGTCCAAGGTCAACTAAAATCACCACGCGGAATCTAACAGATGCGCATGCTCCGGCAAACAACATACGCGCGTGCGCGATGTATCGCCCACGTCTGATGCTCCGGCAAAACGATACAAAGTTCAAAGTTCATGTTTGAATGGCCCGCGGAATCTAACAGATGCGCATGCTCCGGCAAACAACATACGCGCGTGTGCGATGAATCGCTCGCGTAAGCTTTTTCGCTTGTTTTCACGCCATATCTCTGGAACGCAGTCGTTTCGGGAAAATCGCCACATTATATCAATCTTCTCGTCGTTCAAAACCCGTTGGTGCCACTCATTGGCCGCCTCGTAGCCAGCCTGTAGTGCTAGAACTAGCGTGGACAGACGGACAGACACTGTAACCCTCGCTGCGCATGCTCGCCGAGGATTAATACCTTCATGATGCATAGAGCAAGGGGACCCGGTTGAGGTATAATATTATAGCTAAGCCAGTGGTCTAATATGCATATTGGCGTGTTCACTTGGTTTTTGCACACCATATATTTTGAACGCAGTAGTTATACGAAAATGGCCTTTTTTTGAAATGAAGCCAGTGTAGCGATGAACCCGTTGGTATCGCTGTTTTGTTGTCTAGTCGCAGAAACGTACTGCCCTCGCTGCGCATGCGCGGCGAGGGTCAATTGAGACCTGTTTTGGGTAGCTAGCTCCAAAAAGGGGCCAATAGTAGCTATGGGGGAAAACAACGCAAGTGCTCGCTGCACCTTACATAGACAGGGTGGTATGTGAAACCATACTGAGCACATCCTGGTGGTGCCAGGCACTTCACTACATCTCTAGGCACGGTGTACATCACAGGTATAAACAGATCCTTGACCTATCTGGTATCATATTCCAGTCTTGAACGTTTGCCTGCTTGTGATGTTGTAGCTGATTTGTCCTTTTCTTGTTGAAGTTGGTAGAACTGAGTATGGTTACAGCCATTCATTTATTCTTCACTGTGCATTTCTTTATCTTGGTCTGGATTGATCATTCTGCATGTCAACGTGAGTTATGATGGTTCTCTATTGGCCTATGTTCTTCACTAGGCTTATTTCATTTTGCAACAGCTGCAATAGTAGCTCTAGGAAGGGATCAGATTGCTGTAAGGGAAAGTGAAGATTCAAGGGAAATCTGTGTAGTTGTGACTACTGGTGAAATAGCTGTGAAGTCTGCTCTTACAATTTCTACACATGGACTCAGTGCAACAGGTGTAATCCGTGTTGTATAGCTTTTCTTTACTGCTCTATATAATTGTGCTTCAGTTGAAGATGACTTTGTGGGCATATTTGAGGAAGAGCTAACCTTCTTGCCCGGAGACATGAGCAGATGTACTAATTTCACTGTGGTTGAAGACAATGTAGTTGAAGGGGATGAGCACTTGACGATACAAATCCAAAGCTCAATGCTTCTCATTGGAACACCAAGAACTGCAGACATCACAATCGTGGATACTAGTCGTGAGTACACTCAACTGGGATTTGTTGTTTACTGTTTGGTTTGGCTGTAATTTTGGCTGCAGGTATTACAATTGGACTAGTGTCAGCAGTGTTCACAGTCACAGAGGGTATGCAAATGCAAGCCTCAGTATGTGCAGCTATTAGAAATGGCACAATTGCAAGAACAGTTGATTTTTCCATTGAGGCTCTTGCTGTGGGCACTGCTTCATGTAAGTCGTAAAATTAGGATCACAGAACGTAACAAAAGCTACTGCTTCTATTGTGTTTTAGATGATCCAGATGAGGCTGATTATATTCCAAGCACTGTCTCATTAGCATTTGATCTGCATACACATAACCTGAATGTTTGTGGGAACTTTGTGATTGTTGATGATAATTTGCCTCCAACTGTTGCCGAAGATGATGAATACTTTCTTGTATCTCTAAGTACCAGTGACAATGCTGATGTTATTCCCGAGCAGACCACTGCAAAAGTCGTCATTCATGATAATGATGGTGCGTAGCTAATGGAAAATGTGTATTCTATGTGTACTGAAAGTACCTCACAACTTGGAACAAGGAAGTTGACAACAACTAGCTTGCTCCTAAACAACCAGAATAAGCCTTCCCTCAGAAATTAATTGCTTGTCGTCTATAATAAAATCGTTTCAAAAATGCACGGCATTTTGACTTTACTGTCTTTCTCAAGTGTCAGCATAATTATTATAGAGATGGCAGTTGGCAATAAAAGGAAGGGACCCACCATACTTTACATTTGCCAGCTAAATTGCTGGTGGATATAATAAACTGACAAATTTATCACTACAGGTGTTAGTGTCAGACTGGCTGAAAGTTCACTGTCTTTCACTGAGGGAGAACCTGGTGAACTAACATTAGCCAGTGTTTGTGTGCTACTAACTGATATCCATGATGGACTTGAGCGAGATGTCAACTTTAGTCTCTCCGTCATCCATCTCAACTCAGCCAGTAAGCTGTTTAATGCTTTTTCCTACTGAACTCACTACCTCATGATGCAGCTGAGGATGACTTTGGCCCACAGGATACCATAACCGTTACTTTTTCTTCTGGTTCACTGATGAATGATAAGCAGTGTACAGATTACCTGATAATTGGTGATGACTTGAAAGAAAGTCCTGAAAAGTTTTCTGTTTTACTCTCCGCTGTTGACAGTATTGATACTGTTGTTGGAAATCAATCAGTGTGTATCACAATTGAGGATGATAGGGACGGTACGTTACAATGTGCAGAGGTATTATTAAAACACTGTACCTGGTCTATGACTATTATTCCAATGCCGAAGGGCTTCTGTTGCACACACAAACTAAATTGACACTCTACTATTCAAAATCCTCATAAAAATAGCTAAGGGTCTTCGCATATGGTACGGCTATGCATGTTATACATAACAAGTAACATTGGATAAGTTGTAAGTTTTGTGATTCATATTTATAGTGATTCAAGACTGTGGACCACCAGCGGGTATTGAGAATGGGTATTTAGACTATGACCTGACACTGAATGGCTCAGTTGCAACCTACTACTGCAATGAGGGTTATATTCTCACTGGTGAAGACAGCGTCACATGTCTCACAAACATGACAATGATTCCGGGGGAATGGTCTGGTGGCCCTCCAGTCTGCAAAGGTAATAATATTGCCCATTATATTTCATACCTTTAAGATACTTACCATACAGTGATAGATTGTGGTGTGCCCCCTACTGGTGGAGACGATAGCCAAGTTCAATACTCTGTTACCACATTTGGGGCCAGTGCAACGTACAGCTGTACAACAGAATGTTTTGAACTGGATTCTGATGAAGACACTTTGATATGTCTCTCCAATGAGAGTTGGTCAGGAGATACTCCTCAGTGTCACTGTGAGTAGCATGTCTCATATTAGCTGTTGCAGGGAAAGTTTGAGATTGCTGCCCCTACGGTTTATGTCACAACTACGAAGCACATGTGGTCATGAGGAAACCTAAGACAACTAATTTATTGCTATTTCCATAGATATCAGCTTCTCAGCGTACATAACATAAATAATACTGTATACATAGGTTTTATGAGCAAGTGTGTCATGGTGGCACACTCAATTTTTACTCTAGTAGGCTTCATTTGGTGTAAATTGACACTCTCTGTGGCTACCTCTTTGGGACTCGGTATAGTATGTTCTTATGTAACAATCACGGGTTGCAGCAGCCTTTAATAGCATTGCTGAGGTATTCAATGTGTTTTTATCATTATCTACAGTAATAGAGTGTGGACAACCAGAAGAAATTGAAGGATGCCAGCTATCACCAATTACTTCAACTAACTGTGGATCAATAGCTCTATACTCAGCATCGCCTGGTTTCACTGTGGATGGAGATAAAAACATCTCCTGCGGGAATGATGGAGAGTGGAGGGGAGATATGGGATTTACACTGTGCCAAAGTTAGTATCTGCTTCACGCATTGGGAAGTCCAATACCACTGATCCTAAGTAAGGTAGCATGAATTGAACTCCCTCTCAGTGGGTAGTACAGCAAATTGTTCTGTGGTGAAGGTTCTCCCGCTAACTTAAGCTAAATTACATGCTTTCTCTGTTCCACCAATATGTGGAGGTTGGTAAATGAATCGTTTGTGGCTTCAAACTGTAGTAGTTGACGTACTACTGTTACATATATATTCCTCTTCTATGTAGCTATCACATGCCCGATGCTAGAAGATCCAGCCAATGGCACCACCAACTCAAATAGCACCCAACCACAACCATACGGCACAGTTTTGGAGGTATCTTGTACGAATGGCTTCCGCATCGAAGGCAATACCAGTCGAACTTGTCTAAGTGATGGAACTTGGTCTGGAGAGGAAACAATGTGTGCTTGTAAGTGACAGATACCTACCACTAACCAGAAATAGCTATATCTTAGAGCTTAATAAAATGTTAAGTTCTCAAATATCAAGTAATGCCTTCACGCTGTATGTTTTTTGCTCTGTTGTGGAGTGTGAGCTTGTAACTCCTGAGAATGGAAATGCTGAAACAGGCCTAGGCTGTATTATACAATACTCATGTAACCTTGGCTATAAACTAGTAGGCCATGCCCAGCCAGAGTGTCTTGAAAACAGAATATGGTCTGAGGGTCAAGTGAGATGTGAACATAGGTGTTGTTGTATGGTATAGCTATTGCTCAACAGACTTCACGTGTATTTCTATCACAGTGATAGATTGTGGTGTGCCCCCTACTGGTGGAGACAATAGCCAAGTTCAATACTCTGTTACCACATTTGGGGCCAGTGCAACGTACAGCTGTACAACAGAATGTTTTGAACTGGATTCTGATGAAGACACTTTGATATGTGTCTCCAATGAGAGTTGGTCAGGAGATACTCCACAGTGTCACTGTGAGTAGCATGTCTCATATTAGCTGTTGCAGGGAAAGTTTGAGACTGCTGCCCCTACGGTTAATGTCACAACTACGAAGCACAGTCATGTGGTCATGAGGAAAACTAAGACAACTAATTTATTGCTATATATTTCCATAGATATCAGCTTCTCAGCGTACATAACATAAATAATACTGTATACATAAGTTTTATGAGCAAGTGTGTCATGGTGGCACACTCAATTTTTACTCTAGTAGGCTTCATTTGGTGTAAATTGACACTCTCTGTGGCTACCTCTTTGGGACTCGGTATAGTATGTTCTTATGTAACAATCACGGGTTGCAGCAGCCTTTAATAGCATTGCTGAGGTATTCAATGTGTTTTTATCATTATCTACAGTAATAGAGTGTGGACAACCAGAAGAAATTGAAGGATGCCAGCTATCACCAATTACTTCAACTAACTGTGGATCAATAGCTCTATACTCAGCATCGCCTGGTTTCACTGTGGATGGAGATAAAAACATCTCCTGCGGGAATAATGGAGAGTGGAGGGGAGATATGGGATTTACATTGTGCCAAAGTTAGTGTCTGCTTCACACATTGGGAAGTCCAATACAACTGATCCTAAGTAAGGTAGCATGAATTGAGCTCCCTCTCAGTGGGCAGTGGGTCCCACAATATCATAAGAATAAATCATACAAACCTGAAATCCAAAACCATTTCCTATGCTTTCCCATACATTTTACTCCGTTTTATAGAATACGGATAATGTCATATCCCGCCTATTACAATAGAAAAATTGAGCAATTTTGGTTTTTGCCCGCATATTGTCATTATTGCGCATGCGTAATTAGGCCCTTGGGCTGATTAGCTTATGTAAACAGCTAGGCTAGCCTAGCTTCATTAGCTTAGCTAAATAAACTGCATTGTGCGCTATCTAGTTCACAATATTATACATTGGTATACACAGTATACACACCCGGAGTATACACAGTATACGCGCCCGCATTGTAGAATATCCCGCATATTATCATATTTTTTTGGATGCACCGCGGGTATGATATTAACCGGGACCCACTGTACAGCAAATTGTTCTGTGATGAAGGTTCTCCGCGCTAACACAAGCTAAATTACACGCTTTCTCTGTTCCACCAATATGTGGAGGTTGGTAGATAATTCGTTCGTGGCTTCCTTCAAACTGTAGTAGTTGACGTACTACCGTTATATTTATACCCCCCCTCTACGTAGCTATCACATGCCCGATGCTAGAAGATCCAGCCAATGGCACCACCAACTCAAATAGCACCCAACCACAACCATACGGCACAGTTTTGGAGGTATCTTGTACGAATGGCTTCCGCATCGAAGGCAATACCAGTCTAACTTGTCTAAGTGATGGAACTTGGTCTGGAGAGGAAACAATTTGTGTTTGTAAGTGATAGATACCTACCACCAACCAGAAATAGTTATAATCTTAGAACTCAAAATGTGAAGTTGTCAACATTTTTAAATATCACGTAATGCCTTCACACTGTATGTATTCTCTGTTGTGGAGTGTGAGCTTGTAACTCCTGAGAACAGAAATGCTGCAAGGAATAAGCTGTATTATACAATACTCATGTGACCTTGGCTATGAACTAGTAGGCCATGCCCAGCAAGAGTGTCTTGAAACGGAATACGGTCAGAGGGTCGTGAGATGTGAACATAAGTGTTGTTGTATGGTAAAGCTATTGCTTAACAGACTTCACGCGTATTTCTATCACAGTGATAGACTGCAATGAGCCAATAATGGACAACTTCACCGGAAATGTGACTTATGATAATACAACATACAGCAACTTCGCAATTTTCACATGCCCAGGAAACTGCAGTCAAAACACTAGTGTCTGCAACAAGAATGGAAACTGGACAGAGACTTACCTCGATTGCTTCAGTAACACTCAAAACCTTTACCATTTACCTAAGTCATGATAATTTTTGTGTTCTATCTTCTATCACTAGGGTGTGAGATATTACAAAGCCCTGACAACGGAGTGGTAGTTGTCAAAGGAGATTTTTATCCTGGATCTATTGCAGCTTATGAGTGCGATGAAGGCTATGTCCTTAGTGCTAAAAATAACATGCAAGACTGCACATGTGAAGGATGGAACAGTCATGATCCAACCTGTGGGAGTATGTGGAACATGTCTTTTTATAATCCAATTCAGTATCCCACACTTTATTGTGAGAGTAAAAGAAAGGTATTATTATGCTGATAATTATTTCTGCACAGAAAATGAAGATCAAGAAAATAATGTCATACTCATCATTGTGGTGGTCACAGTAGGAGGAAGTGCAGCGTTGATGGCACTAGTTGTGTGTGTAGCACTTGTCTGGTGCTGTGTGGTGAAAACTAGCCCCAAGGTCAATCACTTCAGACAATCACGGAAAAACAACTATAAGGGAAATGTATCGTATGTACTCCCATACACAATCTATGGTAAAAATTATTCAACATGGACTGTACTTGTGTGTAATACACTGTTTATTATAGCCAACAGATCAAGTGCCTTAGAACCACTTGATTCACAAAATAGACACTCAGATCTTTTTGGTGAGTTTTTCTTGAAAACCACATGACTATACTTCTACTGCCTTTTTCTTAAACATCCCAGGCTCACTAGACAGCGACCGTATATCTCCTTTTCAAGACACAGATCGAGGTATTGTGGGGTTTCAAATGCTGCCATAAATCTGGCAATTCCCATTATTTTCTCAAATCTGGCAATTCCCATTATTTTCTCTCAGGTACAACTGTTTTTCAATCAGTAAGGGGATCTCAGTTTGGAAGTATGTTTACCAAGCAGACTTGTTAACAAGATTAGCCACTTGTTTTATCTTAGATCAAGAACCAAGTGGCAGACTGATTACAACAGCAAGAGGTTCATATTTTGGAGGTAATTAGCTCTAAGAATGATTGTTATAAACTCTCCGTATAGTTGTAGCTACCACATTCACTAAGGTTTTTCTCCAATTTTACCAGTAAAAAGACGAGACAGTGCTGGTTCTTCAACATTGACTTCAATTCCTGAGGGTGATGTCCCAGCATGGGATAATTGGGCAGAATCCAGCTTCTCTTCGAGTGAAACCTCAGACCAAAACTTTACTGACGACTCAACATCTGTTTTGACCACCACTACTACACCGACGAGTGAGCACAGTCACAGCCCTGGAGCTACAGCTATCCAGTCACCAACCAAAAAACCAGTGTCGATTCTAAAAAAGAAATGAACTCTGGTTAATGTACATTGTTGCTGTTTATTGTAAAAGTTGTGCTTTGCACATGTTGTCCATACAGTTGGACTTACCAGAGCTACTTTCTCAGTTGTCTAGATATCCTGACGTTCACCATGGCAGTTTTGCATCCCTAAGTTAGCAATCCTTATAGATACTCACGAATCAGGGGGTGTAAACAAACAAGTGCATATCAACTACACCTAGGACAACACCTTTGTCCCCCACAGTTCATTGAATGGGGATTATAGTCAAAGAAGCCATTGTTTAATTGGCTTGTGTTTCACGCTATAACTCTTGATAACAATGGTTTGAGGAAGGTCACCTTCCTGAATACACTAATAGCATCGGTATCCCCTTTTACCTGTAGTACTAGAATCCCAAACACACAGACAGACAAACCAAGTAGCTATTGCAACCACTGCTGTGCATCTGTCATCACAAGGTCAAAGCAAAGCAAGGCAAGAAACACAACTACACCCATAGTAACCCATTTTCCAAGGAAAAATAGACCTGGGTGGGATTCAACCCACAGTACACTTTGCACTAGACAGGAGCTCTACCAGCTGAGCCACCATGGCAACTCGGCATGCTTCAAATCTACAACACAAGACCAAGGTAAACCTCAAACAACTGTACTATGGCACAGTTACTCAGCATGTGGGCTGACAGCTACACTATATATTATTCATTACCCGTTGTGCACATGCGGGCACGAGGTTTGTGTAATGTCTGTCATGGTATCACCAGATCTAGGTGCCTTAAGTGAGTTGGAAGGGTAAGGTGGCCAAACTATTATCATAACGTGTTGTATTATTTCAGCCCATTACACAACTGTAAGATTAATATTATTTTTAACATTCTTTTTTCGTTCTCTGAGGTGTATACTTTGTGTATACTTCATTCGTGTATGTGTACATGCTACATTTTCTAAACAAAAAACAAACTGGCGCTGTGCTTGGAATCAGCGATCGCGACACTGGCCACAACGGCCAGAAATCGAGCTACAAACGTAGGGTCGTTTGGCCATGGCTATTAACGTGCAAACATGCACCTACTATGCTTTCTGTGCATGAGCCCAAAGAAAATGCAGGCTAATGTATGTGCTCCCCACAACTCTACTTAGAAACATTTTTTTCTCGCACCCTCGCATTCTCCCACTATAAATTATTCGTCTGAGCTGCGGTTGTATAAATAGTGCATGAAAAATAAGTTTATAAAACAGTTATTTGTTCATCTGTAGGTGTAGAACTCTTGATTTGAAGCATCGAGATTTATATTTCTTCCACAGCAGGTCCAGCAGAGGATAAAATGCCTGAAAAAAGTGATCATAGTAACACAAAAATGTTTACTTAGTACAGGAGTACTTGGTACAAAGATCATTTCTTCCAAATGAAGGGACTATAGAAATGGCTTGAAGCACCAAAAAGGAAAATGTCTGATAACATTGTCCTATGAATCAATGGAACAAAGATATAGTATTCTGTAGCTTTGTGCGTCTTTGCTGTGTAATAGGGCTAGGGCTAGGGAAATGAAAAGCACTAAAGTGCAAACCCTCGGCGAACTGCGCACGCGCGGTACCACTAATTGATGGGCTGAGCTTTTAGTATGCATTTACTCATGGTCTCCACGCTAGTAGCTCGTGGAGAGTCTGACACAGACTAGCTACAGTAGTAGATGGCATGCTGGAGTCGATACACGCCCTTCGTTGTACTTCTTGTGCCTTCAACATACAGAGCAAGTGGACCCGGTCGAGGTAAGCCTGTGTTAATTTGCATATTGGCTTGCTTTTGACGTCATAACTTTTGAACGCAGTAGTTATATGAAAATCGCCTTTTTCAAAATTAAGCCAGTGTAGCGATGAATCCGTTGGTTTCGCTGTTCGTTGTCTCGTTGCGCAGTCGCAGAAAATGTGGTAACAGACGAACGGACAGACACACACACACAAACGAATCAAGTACCATAACCCTCGCTGCGCATGCGTGCCGAGGGTTAATGACCCTTTTTTCGCTTCAAGCCATCACTTCTCCCCCTTCATTTTGATTTTTCCATTTGTGAACAGCTATGATGACACTGCAATTTTCTTATGACGGTAACTTTGATGTGCATGCGCATTGCAGAGGGGTTGACCATGAACAAATTCTAACAGCATGGCACTATCCACATTAGAAGCTCGCATCCTCTGACACAGAGTTGCAGGGACACTAAACCACAAAAGGCCTAGCACAGTACACAAGGCAGTAGCTAATGGGCTGCTGATGCCTGAAGCAGGGGGAGTATAGACGTAACACACAAAACGACATTCAACATTCACCCACGCATAGTCTCTCCTACAGGGGTAATTAACCCTCGGCGCACATGTGCAGCGAAGGTTACGGTACTTGGTCCGTCAGTTTTTCTGTCTGTCTGTCTGTCAGTCTGTTACCACGTTTTCTGCCACCACGCACAACGAGACAACGAATGAACGATACCAAAAGGTTCAGCGCTATACCGGCTAGATTTATAATTTGGCGATTTTCGTAAAAGCAATGATGCGTTCGACGGTTATGGCGTGAAAACCAAGTTAACAAGCCAATATGCTACTTAGTATTCGCTTACCTCCACCGGACTTTGTTGCTGTTTATGTATAATATATGGAAGCATGCCATAAACAGAAGACTAGTGTCGAGTGCAGCGAAACCTAAAAGCTAGCAAAAGATAAATCTAAAGGCTAAGTATAGTTAGCCAGCTGAGTGGGTATCCCGGCTGCACCAACCGTGGGTAATTATACCGATCCCTCCGCACCTGCGTATGTTAGCTACACTGGCGCGCGCGTTTGTGATTCGCACGTGTATGCACTGAGCATGCATTAACAACACTGAGCTCAGTGTGGCTTCATTCGTCGTTGTCACATGGAAAGCTACTCGTGTAATGGATGCCAACTCTTAGCAAAGCCTCGCATGCGTTTTACAGAGCCTTTTTTCTTTCAGCCCTTCACTGTTCAGAGCACGCGCACACACGCACGCATTAGCTAACAGCCCTTGTTCCCAGGTCTAGCTAACTCTGTTCATCAGTATCTCCTACTTTTCAGGATACTTCTGATACTAGAGCCATTCATTCGTGATGGTGATATTCTCAGTCCTGGAACAAAATTGTTGTATGATTTGTCTGATTTCCGCGTGATCATGGTTGTGATGTGTAGCTACTTGTGATTTGATGAGATGATGATGGTTTCTGTCGTTCTTCGATTTTCATGTTCCTAGGCTTTAGGACATGTTCACTGTTTTTTCTCAGTTCAGTAAAGCCAGTCTGGGTCTTCTAAACATGTTCATTGGCCTAGAGTCACACACTCTGATTGTGACAAAAAATATTGCTAGACTAAGCTATGGTATGGTGTTAAGGCATACATATAGCCAAACCCACATGCGTGGTACCATGCTGCCGAGGGTTTTGCAATGGCATCTTTTAACACAGTGGTGCTTTAATGGCCAGGCTTTAGTAATCAGACAACAATGTTAGGTACCTGCTGAGGCACAAACAATGGAGGTGCTTGTGCGTCAGAGGCAATACATACAGTTAAGCACCTCCATTATTTGTGCCTCAGCAGGTACCTAACATTGTTGTCTGATTACTAAAAGCCCACAAACAAACAGAAACATAGGTAATCAACTTACATAGAGCAAGACTATACAAAGATAAATTAAAACTCCGAGGCTTGCAAACGTGTGCTGCCACCACTTTCCTGGAAATTGCCTGTGAAAAAATAACCTGTCTAAGACCACCACTCTAAAAAGACAACTTGTCCACGTGCCAAAAATGCTTGAGCCTGTAATGGTGGTCACTATACTACATTGTTCTGAAAACAATGTAGTATAGTGAGGAAGAGAGTGTTATGCAATCATGTGCTTGGTATGCTAAATTAAATATGCATACCACAGTGCTGATGATGAAGTAAACATTAACCACCACCACCACGATGGCTATAATCCAAACAACAATAGCTCCAGGTCTGTAGGGCACAAAATAAACATTAGTCTAATGCAGCCAGGCGTTTGGAAGAACAAAATGTCTGGTTACTTTTACAAACTTTTTGTAGCACAATAGAATGCAGTGGCGGATCCAGGGGGGGGTTCCTTGGGTTCCGTGGAACCCCGCTTTTTATCGTTTTGGGCACATGTGTCGCCGGCCTCGTGCGCGAGCACGAGCACAGTCAAAACGTTCTTGGACAGCAGAACCCCTCTTTAAAAATCCTAGATCTGCCACTGCAATGCCATAATGTACATAGTGGGATGCAATAAGCTAAGTGGGTTAAAACTGAATGGATTCTTTGTACCACAGCTAGCATTTCCTTACTAACATTGAGTTCTTGAAGTCACCCATGACTGTCTTACTACTGGTGGCATGCAGCAGAGGTATCAAGGAAAACGGCAACTGAAAATGAAGTGCGAAACAAGGTGAATAGATGACTGTGCCATTACAAATACGTAGGTCAGCTATCAGCTATATAACATACATACAGTGGTATCAGAATATCAAGCAGGTGAGCGAGTACTAATTGCTGAATAAAACATGGCTGACAAGGATAACAAATATTGTCAATACAGCATATTTAGAACAGCCCGATTCTCAGCCACAATGGTAATGAAAGGACTATAGTGCAAACCATAGGGGCAGCGCTAGAGTATCATGCTCTACACATGCGCAAAACGTGCCGCTACTGGATGGTCTGGGCCACGCCATACAGTTGCTGGCAATATAAATGTCTCTCAATCCTAAAAGGGCTAGCAGTATCAGTGACAAGCATTTTCAGCAACATTGTCATCCTTTGGGTGCCGTTGAACAGGCTAACACTCGTTGGTTAGCCATTGCTGATTAGCATACTGATGTTTTTACTTGTTTTCATGCCATACCTCTTGAACGCAGTCATTCAAGGAAGACTGCTTTTGTAGTTCTGAAGCCGTTGCCTACATTTGCATTCTCAAACCGCATAGACGTAATCTCCATAGAGGTTAATTTAACATTACCAGCATGCTCTGTTCCACATTGATATATTCGTCAAGATAGTCCAAGCTGTTAACTGCCACGATCGCAATGATGACACAGGGGACCATGGCTACACTTCTAGTAAGGAGAACCCTCTTCCAGCGAGCCCAGTGAAGGTTTAGAAACCCTTCCATCACAAACTGGCCTGCATACGTACCCTGCAGTGCACATATGTATGTGGTCAAGAACAACAATCACTCCATTGTCCATAATACCATTTATAGGGTGGTGTAGCAAGGTGGTAGCTAAGTGCATATTGAAATGAAAAAGCACTAAAGTGCAAACCCTCGGCGAACTGCGCATGCGACGGACCGCTAATTGATGGGCTGGGTTATTAGCATTCACTCGTGGTCTCCACGTATAGTATATATAGCTTGTGGAGAGTCTTACACGGGCTAGCTACAGTAGTAGAGAGTCGATACACACCCTTCGCTGTGACTTCTTGTGCCTTCAAGATACACTGAGCAAGCGGACACGCTCGAGGTAAGCCTGTTCTAATTAGCATATTGCCTTTTCCGCTCATGTTTCACGCCGTAATTCCCAAACACGGAAAAAAAACCACATACTTTTCGACCTTTATCCGACGTTGAATACGTGGTATTGCTTGTGGAGCGACTGATTGCTCGTGAAGTGAGACAGACAGACAGACACACACGACAAATACTGTAACCCTCGCTGCACATGCGAGCCGAGAGTTAACAATACAACTAAACCTAGGACAACACCTCTTTTCAAAGCTGCCCTTGGTTGGATTCTAATCCATTACTCTCAGTTCTCTAGACAATTGCTTCACCATATATACCAGGGCAAATAAGCAGGCTGGGCTAAAAGTCAAAATACAGCAAAGGAAAACACTAAACTCAGTGCTATTGCCCTGACACCTGTCACTTAAGGTAGGAGCAGACCTGTTATCAAAATTACAAAAGATCTCCATCTCCAGATTAAGTAGATGCATGAATACCCTGAATGCCAAACACTCACTGTCATTGTTGAGCTTTGGCCAGCAGCTAATAGTCCAATGGCCCATATGTAGCGCACCCACTCCTGACAATGAAAGCGGTAGTAGAGACAGTCTGCTGCATTCAGCAGGCTTATTTGCTCAGTACACTCCCTCTGGACCGTTGCAAGGTCACTAATGTGCTGAGCACACTTCCCGTGGATATCACTGGCGTAGTTATAGCCAAACACACTCTGCAATGGAATAAAACTCGGAACATGATGGACATTTTCAATGCTATTCAGTCAGGTCAATAACAGGCTTTATAAGCCAGTGTTATAGCCACTGAGACAGGGAGTGTCAGTGAGAGATATACAAGCCAAAAAATTATCTATTTTGTCTAAACACTTACTGCTCCAAAGACGCAGACCACGAAGAGATTTATAATAAAAGATATGAAGAGGGCAATGGCTGTGAAAAAAGTAAAATGACATTCCCGTCATAATTACTAGTAGGTGAATGCAAGCAACTTTATAGACAGAACTTGAAATGTTTTAACACTACAACTATTATAGCTATGCATGACGTGCAGTTGCACAACATACATGTATATTGTGCTGTTGGGACCACTAGGTACGCTCGCTCGCACTCACCAACTATCATAATAGACGCAGCATGCATCTGTAATAACCAAAACACTGGATGAAAATCCTCTGCATGAAAAGCTGCATACATTATATATACATACTGTATTAGTTTTTTTATATTCGCGGTTCTATTAAGAATTTGTGGCGGCATACAATGTAAGCATTGCGCTGGTTGAAGCATCAGCAGAAAATAATGTGGCTGACAAGCTCCAGCTATAATCTGTCTTATTCCAGAGCACGTTGTTATTGGGCAGTGATCCGAGGAGCCAGCAGGTGCGAACTGACAAACAGAAATCGGTCTTAAAAGGTGTTTATCCAGGCTTGTTTTTTTAAGGAACACTGAAGCCCAGCACTTTATCAGTGTCGGATGTGGAGTCGCTGTTGTATGCATCCATGCTGCTGCTCGTGAGCCACCCTAATGCACATGCTTAGTTTGATGCTGGTGATTTGGAGCTCTAATTCGCAAAATTATTCCGAGAACAAATCCAATAATTAGAACCTTTTGAAAAATGTCTGACTGCGTATTATAGGAGCAATTATGATAAGTGCAGTGCTGCTACTACAGTATATGCCCGAGCAAAGAATGCTCATTTTTGGTCCCTCACCCAAACAAAAATGTGTTGCTTCTGTCTAGTAAATCTGTGTTGTTACAGGTATAACATGTCACTCACTATGATATGTACATAGATTTGTATAAAATACACTCACTAGACTCAATTGTGTTGTACTTTATTCCTTCTTTTATATCAACTTTATTCTGTCTTGAAATGGCACGGCTCTACAGTAAGAAACACAAATCCATTCACACAGACAGGACTAGCTTGTTTAAACCAGATTATAAAAGGTGATTCGATACTATACAAGGGCTATAAATATCGCAAGACGTCAGAGGAGATTATGACATTTGCTACTTTGTGAAGCTACCACCTTGAAAAAGTCAACAACAAGCCTTATACCCTTCCTTCGCAGGTTAGCTCTGACCTTTCTGTACGCAGTTTGCTTGAAATAAATATGTACACTATAACAATAGGTGCAGGTGCTTGTACAGTCACGGGGGTGGAGGTTAGGACAATGTTAAAGGTGCATAAGGCAAATATTTAGGAGCAAACCTGTATCACTGGTAGCTCACGGAGAGTCTGACACGGGCTAGCTACAGTAGTAGATAGCATGCGGGAGTCGATACACGCCCTTCGTTGTGACTTTTTGTGCCTTCAAGATACACAGAGCAAGCGGACCGGTCGAGGTAAGTCTCTGCTAATTAGAATATTGGCTTGTTCACTTGGTTTTCACGCCATAACTTGTGGCGCTTTGCACTTACGAAAATCGCCATTTTAAAAATGAAGCCAGTGTAGCGCTGAACCCGTTGGTGTCACTATTTTACCTGTTTGTTGCGCGTGGTGGCAGAAAACGTGGTAACAGACGGACAGACACGCGGACAGACCAAGTACTGTAACCCTCGCTGCGCATGCGGGTCGAGGGTTAAAAAAGTGCTTAATTTTACATAGCCATGTAAACACAGATTTTTATATGTTCCTGAGCAGTAGACTTGACTTTCTCTAAGATAATAATATATAGGGTTTGCACTACTAACTCAGCAAAACATGTTTTCTTGTCCTGTCCCCCTGCCTAATTGCTGATTATAGTAAGAATAATTAGTAGGACAGTCCCTTTTAAAATCCCTTGCGTCCATGGACTAGCAGCTACGGATATATGCTAATAAAACATAACTGTGCAGTTGGCCATAGCTGCTAACACCTAGTGGCATGTGTACTTCTATCAACAACAGCAACCGCCTTATAAAAGTCAGTTTAATTCAAAAGAACAATAATAGATTGTGGTACAAGTTGCACCAAGCACTGGATAGAGAAGCTACGTACACCTAACCAGTACTAATCCAGAGTGGAGGTAGAGATTATGTGGCATGATGACTGCCCCCACAATACCAAGACCCTGCTCTACAGCTCCAGAGCTACAGTTCTGACACCAGGGAACAAAGATTCCTTCAACTACCGCTGCTTGAGCTGGCTGAGCATAAACATACTATGGAAAGGAAAAAATTAATTTTAAGAACAGTTTCATGATAATATTGGTTCTTCTTTGCATATGAGTACTACTTCAACACTTGTGCTGGAATAAAAATGAAACTTGTGCACTGATGTACTCTTAACAAAGAGCCTCGGGCAATTAAAAACTTGTTTCCTTGTACACTGCTGTGAATGGCAACAAACTACATATGTTAAGGATGGGAGGGAAGACTGACCATCCAACCAAACATGCCACACATGATGGCAATGAGCAAGCGAATCCAAACCAAGCCTCCAGGTAGCGGTCGCAGGCCATAGCTCTCCAGGAGAGGATGATGGAAAGTAGATCCAACTGCTGTGATAAAGCACGCCTACCACAGAGAGGATTCGTCAGGAATGTATATATACACTCAGTATACTAGCTACAAGTGCTCAGCTAAGGAAAAATTAAATAAAGGGAATGTGGCAGTACATAGGCACCAAACACTTTAATTAATGCTACTACAGATGGAACTAAACAATAGGGCCCAGCGAAAAAAGGAATTAGTTTCCGTTGTTAGTAAGATTTTCTAAATGTAGCCCTTATATACTATTGCTGCACATTCCTTGAGTTCAATCATTATCTATGAATGCAAAAAAATACTTACGTTCTCTGAGAAATTATATGTATGGCAAGTGCTGAGCCAATCACTTCCTGCAACACAGTGGTTATCATAGATATACTCATGGCTTTCTCAGTATATACATGATACAATAATAAAAGAAAAGCACTAAAGTGCAAACACCTCGGCAAACTGCACATGTGCGGTACCGCTAATGGTGGGCTGGGCCTATTAGTATGCGTTTACCCCTGGTCTCGTGCTAGTAGCTCGCGGAGAGTCTGATACGGGCTAGCTAGTAGATAGCATGCAGGAGTCGATACATGCCCTTCGTTGTGGCTTCTTGTGCCTCCAAGGTATGTATGTATATACATAGAGCAAGCGAGGTAAGCCAGTGCTAATTAGCATATTGGCTAGTTCAGTTGGTTTTAACGCCATAACTTTCGAACGCAGTAGTTATACGAATATCGCTGTTTCTAAAATCATGCCAGTATAGAAATGAACTCTGTTGGTATTACTATTTTGTTGTCTCATTGTGCGTGGTGGCAGAAAATGTGGTAACAGACAGACAGACAGACGGACAGAATGACAAACCAAGTACTATAACCGTCGCTGCGCATGCGCCCTGAGGGGTAAATGAATGGTAAGATGGTCACATGATGTTCTCCTATCTGAAATATGCAATGAAAGTCATTATAGGAGACAATTTATTAGAGGATTAAAAGTCAGGAGATCTGTGGACTATAATTGAGTTTCAAGCAAGACTGATTTGCCCTGAGTGAGGACTACTGAGGGCTTGGCAGGCACAGTCTCAAAGGGCAGCCATAGCACAAGGGCCATACCAAGACAATGTGGGGCCACACATCCATGAGAAAGTGGTGTCATTAACCTCTGCGCGCTCCAGTCAGGGCTACGAGTGTACGTTGTCCCGTAAGTGTCTGTCTTCGGCACTTGCTCTGCAGCGCACGAAATCAGGTATAGCGATATGATCGGGTTCAGTGCTACACTGGATTGATTTTTAAAAAGGCGATTTTCGTAAAACTACTGTGTTTTAAAGTTATGGCGTGAAAACCAGTGAACAAGCCAATATGTAAATTAGCACAGGCTACCTCCTACCGCGTCGTCCGTTCCGTCTTGTGTGTCTTGACAGGCACAACAAGGTCACAACGAAGGGCATGTATCGACTCCCGCATGCTATTTACTACTGTAGCTACCCCGTGCCAGCTCTCCGCGAGCTACTAGCGGGATACCACGAGTAAATGCACTAACAAGCCCAGCCCTAAATCGATTATATAATTTGTATCGTTTCTTAGTGGTCTCCTTTAAGTGCCCACTATCCGCAGTCCTTCTCACAGAGTTGGCTCCGTTTTAATGCACATCCTTTTCTTCCTTGCGGCCCGTATCCCTCCACCTCCAATTCTGCTCCCAGCGGCTTCGCTCCTCTGAGGGGCCCTTCCTGGGTTTCGAGTGTACGGCCAGACATCCTTCAGTGAGAATTGATCCGATTCAACTACTAGACCTCGTTCAAGTACAAATACTTGGACCGTATTCTCTAGCCTTAGCTAAATACCTCCTCTCTGTAAACTCAAGGTGGCTGAAAGAGAATTGCATGATGGCGTAGGGCCAACACTCCTTAAAACACATTTCGCAACACCCGAACGCCGGGATACGTAATAAGGCAGAGAGAATACACTTATCAGACCTCGTCCCGACCTAATAGAAGGTAACACAGTGGCAAGTCCAACTATAGGCGGCTCTGTACACGGGCGAAAGCCAGGGGACTAGGACTGCCGCCCCGGTCCTGACCGGTAACGACCGTTGCCGCCAAATTGGCCCTACACAGCCCCCCCTCTCTATCCAAAAATTAGTGGTACCGCACATGCGCAGTTCGCCGATGGTACGATATTGCACATTATTGCTTGTGTCATTCTTATAGACCTACGATGCGATAGTCTAGAACACAGGTTTCCAAGTTATACTGGGGCTAGTTCAATCAGTGTATTAGATCAAACACCACACAAATACAAAAGACTGCCAACACCCATCTACTAAATAACATACGACCAGGCAGAGACCGATCAACATTACCTAAGATAATATGAGTACACACAAACCCCAACAAATTAAAACCATTTCCCGCAGATACTAACTAATTACTACTCGTGACTCATGAGACCTATTTATAATTCTACCCTGATGTCACTGCCAATAATGGCCAACTCCATACACAGCCACAGGAAGATGCGTGGTACGAGTGGATACTGATCATGGCACACCTCCGCCAGGTGGCGCCCTGTGACAACTCCAAGTCTAGCTGAAAGAACCTGTTGTAAAGAATTAACCAACTGTTCAACATTCTGTGGTTTAAGGGACCTACAGTAAGCTAATCCTTAATAATTTTTATAACATCCCGCAGTGTAACACAATGTGATATTAATTTTCTATTCCCTGTCATGTCGCGAACCGACAAACATATCTCGATTCTACGTTATGTAAGTCATAGCATGTTCTTGCATCATAATGTGTCACGGGTTATGGCAACGTATTAATGGTAAGTATAAGCAGCAATATGGCACAGAGCAGATGATATCACATACAAACCTGTAATATGAGACCCATAAATGTGGACCACATCAAGACCCAAAGCAACTGTATAGAAGTATACAAAATCAAATAAAATAGTTAGCTCTAAGAATAATGCCCACTTTGTATTCTGCCACAGCTCCTGCCTGCAGGTCAGACTCAATGTTCCCAGGATCAAGGTAGGCAATGCTCATCAAAAAGCCTGGTCCAGTAAATGCCCACAACTTGCGGAAACTGAACAGTGGCTGTAGAGTATTTTTAAGCATCTTAATAATAATAGCTTGTCATCATCATAAGCAGAGATTTGTTATAATTAGTGCTCCACAACTCGCCCATGTTCATACTGTACATGTGTGTATATATTCCCCCTAGGGAGTTTGGGTAGCAAGATTGCACATACCTAGCCAGCTAACAGATCATGTGATGCTACACAGGCACTAGCATAATAACTACTTTGATCCCAACCAGACATCAGCAGATTCAAATTGACTAATCAGATTGCATAAAATATGGTTTATAAATTCAAGTGCATGTTTCCACAGAGACGTCCACCAAAAAATGGCGTCTTCGATGGGGGTGGGGCAAGCTTATGCGCAGAGAAACTCGCTCTGTCACCGAGAACTCATCGCGACGACTTCAAGCTCGCTGCATCAAATGCTTCTTCGATGAAAGGCATCTCTACGATGCAAAAAGAAACTAAATGAAGAACTTCTAAGCTTCCCCCGAGAGCATTCAGTTCAGCGTTGCGTCCCACCACAGTCCCGAATGCCGCCTTGAGCTGCGTAGGCCTCTTTCTGATCTCCATCCGTCCGATGTGAATTCCCGGTGCGGCATGCCTTTCGCAAGCGCATGCAGGTCGTCGCTGACATGGGCGGTTACCGCACCCCTCCCACAAGGAGTTGTGGGAGGGGCTTGGCAATAGCTCCTCCCAAAACCACAGGAAGAAGGGAGGTAATGGAAATATGGAGCACTTCCTAGTAGTACAGTAGAAACAATGATAGTGTGTGCAGTGGTCATACATGGGCAGCACAAGTTTTCAATCATGTACATATTCCTAATCTATTGAGGTCCTAGAATGGGATACTTAGTACATGGCTAACTAAATACATATTCACTCACAAGGAGGTATATACTGAGCTACAATAAGTTTTCTCACAGCTGCTCCAGTGCCAGGGACATTGATAGTTTGAAAATCCTTTTCAGTTTTTTTCCTCCTTTCCCTCACTGTTTTTCCCTCCTCGGCCATCTTTTCCTTTCCGGGCCCACCTTCACTTCCCAGTGGTGTTTGTTGCTCAGTGAGGAGAGGTGATTTCTCATTGTGGACATCACATGAGTTGTCTGACAGTCTGCAATGGGGTGTAAATCATTATAGCCGTGGTGTATTATTCAAGAAAGAGTTTGGCATGGAGCCCTACCTATCGAATGTAACTTCAGCAGCGCTCCAAGTATCTATGACTCGCAAACCTCAACCCTGTAGCTAAGTGCATTTCGCTTTGAACGTTACGCAGTTGGTTGAGCTCCAAGCCTCCATCCTGCTAAGCTGCAGTAACATGCACACACGCTGTATGAGGGAGCAGCGCTATATCGAGAGGGTCCACAGTCATTATGTGCTAGAGGACACAAGACATAAGCTTACGTATCAAACCTTGATTCACTCCTTGTTGCCATCATGCCGACAGACCACGTACTATCAAAGGCCCAAAGAGCTAGAGCTGCTAGAGGGGGGACAGGTTAGTCGATATATCGCTAGTAGCCAGACCCTCACGTGTATATTATACGAGCCCGGCCCGTGAAAGAGCCACCGCCTTCTTTGCTTCGTCGCGCATGCGCAGCGAGGTCAAAGCAGCACGTACGTACAATGCTGCACTGGTAAGTGTTTGACTTTCCTTGGCACTCACTCCTCCTTCCTCTTCTTCCCACCTCCTGTCTCTTCTACTCCCTGACCTCCTGTTTTTCTTCTACCCACTCCCCTGCTCCCACTCTTGTTTTATCACTCAGTCCAATCCCTTGTTTTATCTCTCTTCACTGGTTCTTTTCATTTTTCTGGTTCTTTATAGACCTCTCTCGGAGAAAGCTAAATGAAGCTTTGAGCTGATGACAAGATCCCTGGACGTATGTTAGTTAGATATCTTGTTAGGTTTAGAACTCCCCCCTCTTCCAGACTGGGAATAGAAAATTCCTTAAAGTCGTCTTCCATAGTAAAGGCATAGACATGGTCAATCTACCATCATTGTTGCGTAACAAAAATGTATTTCAACATTCCCCTTTGCATCAATAACCAATTGTTAGTTACCAGTATACCAATACTATATCTAGTAAGGTTATTAACCATAAGACTGTTGTTTCTGAGATCAAATTTTCGGAAGGGACTAACAGTATGTCGTGTGACTGTCACAGTTCTCTTTTTTTTAATATGTACCTGTTGGACATGTTGTTTTGCGTATCAAGCATATTCGCAAGCTTTTAGTTAAGGGACCTTCGTATAGGGAGCAGAATGATATAAATTGGAGTAAGATAGAGGCGATATTAGTGGATGCGGTGCCCAGGTATAAAGTACAATGGGCTAAAAAGGAGCGTTTTGATGCAAGATTGTTGAATAAGTGGCTTACAAAAGTAATTGTGTGTATTAGGAATAGAATTGGTGTTTTGAACAAGAAGAAGCGGATGCGTAGTAGGAAAGAGCAAGTACTGAGGAATCAAAAGCATTTACACTATTTTAAACAATTTCAACAGCATGTCCCTGCAGATAAAGCCTGTAGTAATATTATAGTAGTATGTAAGAAGTATTACATAGAGGTGGTATTGAATGAGCTTTCGAATGCCGGTCAGCCTTCAAAATAATGCGCCGTGACTGATAGTCATGAACAGCTTATTAGAAAGCACGTAATTGATATGCGACTTTGGAATATACGCGTACCGTCGGATATGGAACAGTTACCATCTATGTATTGGCTGCTAAAGTTACATAAGTGTCCATATTTTAGTAGGTTTATAGCAGCTTCGAATAAGTGCACTACTAAACCTTTGTCCAGTCTGTTGACTAGTTGTCTCACGACTGTTTTAATACATTATAAGGGGTATTGTGGTGGTATTTTTACAAATACTGGTATTAGGGTTATCAATAATTTCCAGTCCGTTATACTATCAATGCAAGCGCTCAATAGTACTTCTAAACCTCGCAGCACGAACACTTACGATTTTTCTATGAAGGAATTAATAGAGGAAGCATTACAGGAAGCATTAGAGGAGCACAGTATTTATCTTTTAATAATAAGGGGAAGTGTTATTGGAGTGGTGGAAAGAGAGGTGAAGTAAACATATCTGAGTCTATGTTAGTAGAAATGATTTACTAGGCATGCGCACACGCATATTTTGCCTCGCGCCAGGCGTAAACAGTCCAACTGAGGCCGCTCATGCGCGCGCTCTACTGACTGCGCGCGAAGCCAGACTTCCTACGAATATGCGCGCACGGCGGAAATTGACATTCCTAAGCGTGACTAATTGCCATTCTTAAATGTGACCGACACGTACGTACGCATATCGCGAGAATACAACCCGGAGTAGTTGCCTCACGCTAACGCGCTCGGCAATTATCTATTTGACAACATGTACGTTTTAGTAGGTGATAAGATCTTTCGCCCGTGCATAGGTATCCCTATGGGTACAGATTGTGTGCCCTTATTGGCAAATCTTTACTTATTCAAGTTTGAATATACATTTATGAAGAACCTGCTTAAAACAAATATTTCCAAGGCCAGACAACACATTTCGGTACATAGATGATTTACTTACTCTTAACAATCCCTCTTTTGACAACAGGATTAAAACTATATCCATCTAAATTAGTGCTTAATTCACATAACACCCACTACCGAGGGAAGCTTGACGTCTTCGTCGTCTTAGTGCGCATGCGTTAATATTACGCGCTTCTTATTATACGATATACTGTGCGGAATATTTTCTCCATCCTGTCCGTCCAGTTGGCCGGAGATAGATTCATCCGCGGAGGATAGCGTTCTTCGTCGAAGAAAAACAGACAGAGAATCGTGTCTTCGGCTCGAATTTTCTATCTATGTATGCTCGGCCGTCGAAAGTCCTCACGACAGAGAGGCTCGTCTTTTTCAGGGATGATCGAGAGCGGGCAAGGCAACGATATTCCAAGAGGTAGGCAGACAGAACGGCCGGCCGTCGAAAGTCCTCACGACAGAGAGGCTTGTCTTTTCAGCGACGATTTTAAGGCACAATAAGTCACAACGAAGGGCATGTATCGACTCTCGCATGCTATCTACTACTGTAGCTAGCCCGTGGCAGACTCTCCGCGAGCTACATACTAGCGGGATACGTCAACGAGTAAAGGCATAAAAAGCCCAGCTCATCAATTCATGCCATCTACTAGAGGAATCATTATTCCACAAGAATGTGGTTGTGTCCTGCATGCATGCTGATAGAATCGCAAGTTGCCATAAGTGTGTCTAAATAAAATAAGACCTAGACTGAGAAACACCCTAGAGTTACATGCACCACACGTTAATATGGCAGAAAAGCTCGCTAGTCATGCGCAGAGACGTGATTGTGGTAGATTTTTAGCAGCTGTAAAAATGGCTGGTCTACACAGGGGGTGCTCTCTTTCCAGACTCACGATCACTGTGATGGTCTTGACATGAAGAACCTAGATGCACAGTGCTTACTTCTGTCACTGACTCTTTTGTCTACTGGCGCTGGTTATGATGGAAGTCCTAGATTAGTATAAACAAGTGTATTTTTCACACAGGTTTGAAAAGTTCTCAATCTTCATCTACGGATATGGGATAGTTTTGAACACAGAGTTTAGTCATCAGTAACAAGGGGTCAATTTTACGACGCCATGGGTAGGAAATGCCGCAATCCCTTCACCCCATATATCTTTTTGCACAAGGGAAAACTGTACACACTTTGAAACTCTTCATTGACCAGGAATTGTGAATGGCTCAAACGTGTTCTTCACAATGAAGGGGTGGAGGGCGAAATGACCCAGGAAAAAGCAGGAAAGTTTATTTCGTACTTAGCAATAATAAATAATAATTATAGTATGTAGTAACAGTAAGTGATGAATGTGAATATGTGGGGAAATTTGAGCAGCATCGTGTGTAGAGTGTCTACAGACTAGTTGCAACATGTGTGAAAATTGTGTGGCCTAGACACACATTGCAATGACACTTCCCCACTTTATATAGGCAGTTGATTACTATACCTTTGTACGCGAGCAGGTTTCACAGAGTAAACATTAGTAGACTAATTCCTTCAGTGTTTCTAGTATTGGCTTATATTAGGTAGAAAATCACGGGCTCCAATGCCGGAGTGTGAATATGTACTTGTTTTTGGTTGTCCAGAGTCGGCAGATAATTTTACAGTGACAATGTGGTTTACTTCTTAATCTTTCCCTTTAAGCTCAACTTTTCACTGAGCAGAGAGAGTTTGAGGCGCTATTAATATTCGTCGATTTACTGAGCTTTTTTTTCTACTTATAGATCACGCAAAAAAGGTTTTATATCCTCTTCAAAACTAGATGACGCTGTTGCCGTAAGAGCCATGATTGAAGTTGAGGGGAGTAGAGATATCAACTGTTAGAGATTATTTTGTTTGCAAGGCGAGTCGCAGAAATTAATAATGCAATACAAGGTAAATTGTCAGTTGCTTAGGTGAGTTTGGCCATTGGCTATCATGGAGAAATGGACTCTCCATCTCAAAATGAATCTTACATGAACTGGAACAGGCAAAGCACAAGTTATTGTAGCCACTATAGCCTTTGGTCCTAGCATCGACAAATGAGACATTAGACAAAGTGTAGAGCATGATTTCGTTGGTACAACTGTAGAAACACTCTCACATTTCAGCTGCTAATGAATGGGTGCTAAATAATCTGAGATCCTGCACAATTTTCTGTTGTTTGGCTTGCACAATGTGGTGGTGTATAGAGGCCATATTATTAGAGAAGTGAGGAAATCACTGATCCTGCTGTGAGTGGTGATTGCTGTGATGTCTGTGTCGAGATAGAACACCAGTACAATTATGCACATTACCAACAAGAACAGCTAAAAAGTAACAGGTTGGTAGCCAAGTTAACTCAAAGTTTCTGATGCATACAAATAGCATGGCCAAAACTATAACAAGGAGAGCCTTTCCTGTGGAATCACAGAGGAAAAGATTTAAAAAATAAGTGACATGTGCTTTCATTGCAAACATTCTGTCAAGGGTATATACAATGCAGCACAAAAGGGGACAGAGGCTGTTGAAAAAAATCTGCTGCAAGTCATTGCCATGTGTATACCACAGTTTCTTCTTCAGCAGTTAAAACATACATGATTGAACACGCCTTTTAACACAGATCTTTTGCAAATCCAAAATATTGCAAAGGAGAAACGAGGCACTATAATTATGCATAGATCATGTATATGAAAGTCTTTACATAGCTATAACCATCCTTTGGCATTATATTTCAAATTTCAAATACATACAATAATATACACTGAATGTTCACTTTTGTTGGACAGAACCATTGACATTCATCGCTTATCAAAGAGCATAGCTATCTGAGATCCTAGAGAATATGTTCCACGGACGCCTTGAAGATTAAACAAGACAGCAACAACTACACCGTGTGGAGACGAACTTTGTCTATTACATAGTCCATCTGACACACTCACAGCACCTTCAGAGCACACAAAATGTTCATCCATAGCCAACTGGCTGTTATTGTGCTGCAAATGTTGACTTGGCAAAATCACTAGCACACTTGAAGCACCTACTGCTGCTCCAGTGTGGCCAACACAAAATGGTCTGACTGTACCACCTTTCACAAGAGCACCTTCTCTTTGTACAACCCACCCCAGTCCATAGCCAAGTTGTGGATCAGTGGAAAAATCAGCATCATGGACAATTTGGCTCCACATAAACTTTACTGTTTCTGGCTTCAAAAAGAATGGTTTTTCTCCTTGAATAACAGCTCCCACGCTAACATGTGTCTCCTTCTTCGCCAAATGTGTTCTAATGGATGGGACAATTGTATCAGCTCTGCTTTGGTAACTCAGTAAGAGGGCACCACCAAGTTTACATAGGTCTGACGCTCTAGAGTATAACCCACCACCAGCCCATTTGTAAGACAAATCTACATATGGAGTGTTTTCTAGCATTCCAGATGAATTCCGATTGTAGTACCTGCATAGGTAGTAAAACACTTACTAGTAAAAGTACAAAAATAATGGATGAAATCTGAAGCAATGCCACACAAAGTAAGGGAGACAAGATAAAGAAGCTTGCTTATATTCATACACAGGGAAGGTGTGAAGCCAAAGACTATCCCCAATTTCAACGACGTTATTCAATTAAACAAAATATGCCAGAAATAATTATTTTATCGATTTAGGGTACACTCACATTTGCATGTCAATAGCACAAATTTTAGAAATCAAATTCATTTTCCAAGTTACACAATTAGCATAATCCTGCCAAGAGAAGTAGAATGTGGGGACTGTAAGCATAAAGTATTGGGCTGCTGGATCATAAGGCACCGAAAACTGGCTGGGAACAGCTCTGGTTCTCCCCTTACCTTTGTATCTACAGCAAGGATTTAAGGATAGTATGGCAGTGCACTGTGTTCAGGCATAAGAAGAGGTGTGGACATGTGTGGGAAGCAATTCCACTCTTTCAGAATGACATACGTCCAGTCCCGTTGAAAGCAGCCTTATTACTATTGTGGTGTGGTATTTGGTGTTTAGTATACTGTGGCTCAGTCATAAAATCTAAATGGATTATCTTCCCTAACTGTACTTCCAATATAATGGCCATAGAAATTAAATGCAACACCCTCACTGCTATTGGGTTTGGATGTAAAAATGTTAATAATAACTCATAGAACTCGTATTATAATAAAATCTCCACCAGTAGCTACCAATCTCTTTGCAATTTTTTTTCTATTGTCAGAACACTTCTCTGCTATGGGTGTGAAATTTTGGGGTTCGAGAATGACAGTGAAATTGAAAAAGGACAGTTGCAATTGATGAAGTATAATATTGTACATCTAGCAACTAATGCAGCATTATGTGGTGAATTCGGTCAATTTCCAGTCTAATCCTTCTGGCATTGCTCTGTGGATACAAATGAACTAAGCACTAACAGTACTGCCTAAAAATGGTAAAATGGTTAGCTGAGAAATAAGCAACTCCAGGCCACTGCAGTAATTCCTTTAAAATGGTTGACACTAAATGGACTAAACAGCATGTGAAAGAGGTAATGATACAGCTAAGTGACCAGTATGTGCAGGACTAGTTGGTTGGTCAACTCAACACTCCTGGAGGGAGAAATTAAACTTGAGTAATGTTTCATGTGTCTAACATCAAAATTGAAGAGCTCTAACAAAACAGCAAGAAGACAACTGTCCTCTCACTGGTGCTGAAAGGGCCCAGCCAGCTTTGCTCTGGCAACCATCTCGCCAACAGATCAAGTGAAGGTATATCTTGGCGAAAATTCTTCAGTGAGTACCACTAACCAGGATGTTTTTCTTATCTTGGATGGAAGGAAGAGGTATCTGTTATTAAAGCTACACATCGAGTCCAAGAAACACTTGAAAAATTACTGCGAAAGTTTTTGTCGCCCTTAAGGAGTGTGATCCATGCCTCGTGTGACACTTTATCTTATGCTGTTCATGTGTTCAGAGTTAAATATGTTACAGCACCATTACATACTGGTGTGTCTCTAAGTAAACTAATTTATTAGAGACTCACTTTCGCTTTTCATGGAACTACTGTTGTGTGTGTGTGTGTGTGTGCGTGTGCATATTGTCTCGGACACCGCACCAGTTCTGGCATGGTAAGTATTAGCTATGCTCGCTACAGCAAGATTCTAGAGCAGAGAAGACTGTGTAAGCTGGCAAAACAGCTGGTTTTAGCTCCCAGGGTAAGTGTGTGACAATTCACTCTGCTAAGATGGCACTTCTTGCATGTATAATGTAAAAGATGGAGGGTTGCAACTAAGAAAGGGAGTAAACCTAGTGTCACCGACCTTGCTGGGATGCCTGTAATGGTGCTACAGTGCAGGTAGGAGATGAGATTCCTGCTTCATATGAAGCGCAAAGGATTGTTTAATTCTAGCACGATGTTTCTCCTTGCAAACTCAGTCACGGGAGGAGAGATATCTTGAAAGGTCATTATGGTGGTGTAAACTAAGCTGTCAAATCAGATGTGATTGTGCAGCTGTAAATACGCACAATCACAACTTAAAAAGTAGGTTGCTTTCCCATAATACTGGAAATGTGGGTAACAATATTAAGAAATTCTGGATTAGGAAAAGGTATAGCCCAAAGGTAAGGCTAGGCTTGGAGGATGACAACTGAAATTCCTTATTCGTCCAAGTGCAAAGTCATCAGTTGCTAAAATCACGTCTGGTTCTTCCTTTAGCAACAGCTGTATTAGAGGTCATAAATGATCAGGGAAGAATGAGAGGAAATTACCCTTGGAGAGATTTGTAAAATGTATGTTAAAGGAGACAAACCATTAGCCCTAGTTGCCTAAAAACGTATAACTCTCTTTCACCACTTATCTTTGGAGTACTATTCCAACGTGCTGGCGACTCTACCCATGAACATCAGCTATTATAACTACTTGAAGGAAAAATCTGGACAAGAACATAGCAACAGCATCTTCAAAATAATCAGACCTCACTCAGCATAGAATCACTTAAAGTCTACCCTTTGTGACCATTCTTATTACCTAATAAATGAAATCCAACTGAATGGGGGAAGTTACATGCAAAACGTACTATATAGGCAAAATTAATTATTATTGAGAATGGAGCATGATCAATTCTTGAGTAAAATAAATTCTGGGGAGCATGTTTCAAGACCCACAGAGGATGCTTTATCTTTAACACAAGAGTGCCCCTGTTGGAAGCACTGATACGTAGTGCATTTTTGTGCACATTATGAGGTGCTTTGATGGTCAATCCCTACAATATTTGCATCATTTTTGGGGTGCTCCATCCTTGTATCAGAGATACGTATCCTTACTGCTTCCGAGATAGTATATTGCACCCTAACTTACAGTTGAACCTTTGAGCAGGGAACACTTCGCTTATAAAGTTTCAAAGGCGCTCCAATACAGGCTGCCCACGCACAAGCAATTAGCTTGGGCCACGTTTCAAGATTGGTCCAAATCTCTTTTAACCCGCCTCATTTCCATGGCCACGAGCACATGCGGTTATATGCTTGGAGCCAGGACCACGAGAGGCAAGCTGTCCTGGGATTGTTGCCTGGTGTGCCACTCGTAAACTCCATTTGAACCCTTGGTTACTCAGTAGCATGACTTTTTTGTATTTTCAAATTGTAAGTCCTGACTATACTTCACCTAGGCAACAATAAAGGGATTGTGTGATGGGATCGGGGGTTTAAATTACTTGTCTCCGCTCTTGATTATATCCCTGTGAAAGGGGGCAAGCCCCCTATAAAATTATAAATAATAGAGAAAAATGTCTGTTGTCGTCATGGAAATGATGTAATACGCACTGTGTACCAAGTTTCATCTCCATGCGTGCTGCCGTTAGGAAGTTTGAACAGTGAAGAAGTAAGGGCCTGAAGCTATTTGTTGTTGTTCAAACAATATGTGGTCGTCATGGAAACAATGTCATACACATGCGTACAAGTTTAATCTCCATGGGTGCTACCGTTAACAAGTTTGAGAGTGAAATTTAAAGAAAAGTGCCTGAGGCTCGATGTAATACGCATGTGTACCAAGTTTCATCTCCCATTAGCAAGTTTGAGGAGTAAGGCTATTTGTCGTTGTTCAAACAATATGTGGTTATCATGGAAGTTTCATCTCAATGTGTGCTATCGTTAGCAAGTTTGAGGAGAAGTGCCTGGGGATATTGTTGTTGTTCAAAGTCATCATGGAAACATGTAGTTGTCATGGAAATGATGTGATATGTATGCGTACCAAGTTTCATCTCTATACGTGCTACCATTAGAAAGTTTCAGAAGTGAAGAAGTAATTTTATGTGCCTGAGACTATTGTTGTTGTTTACAAACATGTATTGTTGTGATTTTGATGTTGGAGATTGAATACAAGTAAATAAAAAATTCTTCGAATTAAAAGTGTGGAATATAGGGATGCCATAAAAAGCAAGGAGACAAGACAGGGATGAGAAGAAGATGAACAAAACTCCCTATCATAGCCCCATACATCTATGATGCTAGGTACCATGCCAATCCCTATATACTAAGTACTACCATACTTAGTGATAAACAACAACAAACAGCCTCAGGCAAAAAATACTTTTAAATGGTGTCAGGTCAGTGCCTATAACTTGCTTATGATGGGTCCTGAAACTTGGTGCACTGATGTAATGTGAATGACGACAAAATGTCTGAGGCGATAGCGGGCAATAATATTACTTTTTTATGGGCTGCCCAAAAATTTTATTTGCACACCGTGCATGTGAATATACATTGTCGCCACCTTTACTGTTTGTGTGAGGACATAGGTGAAAGGATTCTGTATGTAGACCAAGAACACAGCGTTGTAAAACTGGTTAGTTGAGCAAATGTAGAAGTCTTAGACTTCACACAATGCAGTCACAACTGAAAATCGAGTAGATGGTATTACCTGTCCAATGTGCTTATGAAATAAATCGTAGCTGTGCATCATACAAGAGAGCACACTGGTACTTCGCGACAATAGAGGGCTCGTGTGGAGAAAATTTTACAGGAGCAAGCGATGTCAGTTCAAAGTATGTAGCCATCATCCATTGTACTACTGCATCACGTTCACTAGGTCCTTCTTCTTCAGATTCAATACCCATAACTCAAAAACGAAGCAACATAAAGTAATGAAATTTTGTAAGAATGTAGATATCCGTCACCCGAAGAGACTGGTCATACTTATTTCTTTGTAAACAACATTTTTTACTGTAAACAACAACAAATAGCCCCAGGCAATACGATCACATGTGTCAGTATAACTCACAAATGGTAAGAGCTATGTGAACGAAACTTTGTAGACATAATGTATTCAATCACCAACATTAAAATTACAACAATACATGTTTATAAACAACAACAACTAGCCTCAGGCACTTTTCTTTAAATTTACTTCTTCACTCCTTCAAACTTTCCAACGGTAGCACGCATAGAGATGAAACTTGGTATGTATGCCTATTATATCATTCCCATGACAATTACATGTTTCCATGACGACTGCATTTTGTTTAAAAAAGCCTTAGGCAATTTTCTTTAAAACTACTTCTTCACTACTCAAACTTGAGCACACATGGAGGTGAAACTTGGTGTGCATGTGTATTACATCGTTTCCGTGACGACCACAACAACAAATAGCCTCAGGCACTTTTCTTTAAAATTATTTCTTCACTCTTCAAACTCGCTAACTATAGCATGCATGGAGGTGAAACTTGGAGCGCATGTGTACTACATCGTTTCCATGACGACCACAACAACAAATAGCCTCAGGCACTTTTCCTTCTTCACTCCTTAAACTCGCTAACAGTATCACACATGGAGGTGAAACTTGGAGCGCATGTGTGTAACATTGTTTCCATGACGACCACAACAACAAATAGCCTCAGGCACTTTTCTCTAAAATCCTCAAACTTGCTAACTGTAGAACGCATGGAGGTGAAAATTGGAGCGCATGTGTATTACATCATTTCCATGACGACCACAACAACAAATAGCCTCAGGCGCTTTTCTCTAAAATTACTCCTTCACTCCTCAAACTCGCTAACTGTAGCACGCATGGATATGTACATCATTTCCATAACGACAACAGGCATTTTTTCTCTAGTATTTTAATTTTTATAGGGGCTTGCCCCATTCCACAGAGATAACACGTAGTAGTATATAAAAATGAGTGGAGACAAGTAAATTAAAATCCTGCGAATTTAAAAAAAGAGGCATATAGGGATCGTATAAAAAGAAAGGGAGACAAGATAGGGATGGGATACATGAAACATGGGTAATGAACAGATTTGAGTACGCTGACACCCCCAACCCCATCACACAATCCCTATAATATTGTTGCCTAGGTGAAGTATTAAACATTCATCAATACAATACTCAGAACTTACAATACACTACTGAGTAACCAACACCCTTATAGAGTCCAAGTGGAGTTTAAAAGGCAATTGGGCCGTATAAATGTTACTAAAAACAACAGGGACATGGTGAAAGAATGCTTGCTTTTAGTAACCTTTAGCCCCTATAAGAGTAGCACACCAGGCAACAATATAGGGATTGTGTGATGGGGTTGGGGGTGTCAGCTTACTCAAATCTGCTGATTAACCATGCTTCATGTATCCCATCCCTATCTTGTCTCCCTTTCTTTTTATACGATCCCTATATGCCTCTTTTTTTTAATTCACAGGATTTTTAATTTACTTGTAACCTTGTAATTTCTGTTTCGATGAACTCTTATCATGGCGACTCAGGGTACCAAGTTTCATTGTTAGAGGACCAACTACAAGTAATTTATAGGCACAAACACCATTTACAGGTTTTTATTGCCTGAGGCTGTTTGTTGTTGTTTACAAATTTGTAATTTCTGTTTCGATGAACTCTTATCATGGTACATCAGTGCACCAAGTTTCATTGTTAGAGGACCCACCATAAGCAAGTTATATGCACAAACATCATTTACACAAGTATTTATTGCCTGAGGCTGTTTGTTATTGTTTACACTTGTAATGTTTACATTTTGATATTAATGCATGTGTGTACAAAGTTTTATCATTCTGGGTATTTGCTCTACCTAGTTAGCACACTTTATTGGTCTATATCATAATGTATGGTCTGGGGCTATTTTTTGTTGTTTACAAAAAAATTAAAATGCTCTTGCACGCCGGGTCACGGATTCCAATCTTTGTGCAAAGTTTCATCTATGTGATATGTGTGTCTAAACTGACAACAACAAGAAGAAGAATTTTGAAAACTGATTTTTTTGAATAAATCAAGTACCGATTGTGCGATTTATGCCATTTCTTGGATACATGCTCTTTGTGACGATACGGATCAGTCAGATGTGTCAAAAGTTGGATCTGATAGAAACTGAAAGTGAAATATGAAAATCTCAAATGTATGGGCATAATGCAGGATGACCTGTGTCATCCCCATAATTATACTAACTACTAACGTACTTAGTGATTATTTCTACAAAGTTTCATTCACATAGCTCTTAACCATTAATTTTGTGAGTAATACTGGACACATGTGATCCCACTATAATGTATTGCCTGGGGCTATTTGTTGTTGTTTGCAAACAAATAAGTATGACCAGTCTCTTTGGGTGATGGATATCTCCATTTTTACAAAATTTCATTACTGTATGTTGTTTTGTTTTTGAGTTACGGGTGTTGAATCTGAATCTGAAGAAGAAGAAGAGATGATGAACAAAACTCCCTATCTTAGCCCCATACATCTATGATGCTAGGTGCCCATCCCTATATACTAAAGTACTACCATATTTAGTGATTCGCTGTGTACGGAATGGGCTTTCTCCAGGGTGCTCAACAACCTGAATGGTCTCTATCCAGCTGACGATATTCCAGCCCGCTGCAAAGAGCAAAGAAAGTAGAAAATAATGGTGTCCATGAGAGTCTGTGGAATAGCGTCCCATAGGAAGCCTTTGTCTCAGAGGGTGTTTTCTTCCTCCTCTGACAATGTCTCGGCCTGCTTTTTTTCGCAACTCAACTCCATCAGCCTGTAACCGCTTCATTTCAGTATAATAGTGATGCCCTGAAATGTAAGCCCTACACTCGGACCCTACAGCCCTGGGCCCTTGGCCGTATAAATCATGTAGATTTCACGGACTCGGTGATCTTAAGGAGGAGAGGATGAACAAAACTACAGCCAGATAATATATTAATCTATTCCATGCCTGTCAATATAGCACTGTGACATTATGCTATGCTTACAGTCAACAGCAAGCTTCCCCCATATCGCCAAACGACATACAATACCTTGCTCTGTTGTACAGAAGAGGATTGTTTTTTTCAGGACCTGTACCATCCATATGCAGTGGAGATAAGATGAACTTCTGAAGATAATCTAAGAATGGCATTCCTGACACCCCCTCAATAACAGCACTCAAAAGAGTCCAACCGTGAGTGGTGTAGTAAAATTTGGTGCCTACACAAAAAAACCACTCACTAAGCAAAAAACGATTCAATTAAAAATTGTGCTACAGTAGGGGCCATGAAAATCTACTTCCCATTACATTTCCTTCTCCATGGTTACTATCATCAAAATGCAGCAACTCTATGCTACACAATCAAAATATTAACTGCAGCCATTCTCGAGTTCTTGAATCTGATGTTGCTTTCTTGAATTATTATTTCAAAAGGTCTACTCCAATAACTGTGGCAGCAAAACCCTAAAACACTTGGGCGAAGTATTATACTAAATGGTAGAAACCTAGAATTACAGTATACATAATGTTGAGCACATCATCATGAAAATCAACTTGAAACGCCTAGCCCTAGCGACTATGGTGGTCCTATACAAATTAATGTGCAACATCTCCAGGTGAATTCTAACATCCTCTATTAGCAGGTAGTTAACTTTCTGTTTCATACTCTACCTGCTGCTTGTACCTTGTAAAGCTTTTGGCTATTACTGCCATCTATTAGTTGAAGGCATGCACTGAAAGGGAATTCTGAAATCACTATAGCATTTGGTGGGTAATGCCTCTTGGGTACAGTACTTTTTCCTGCAAATCACGTATTTATAAACACCTGGAGCATAAAGCAGGTCATCATTTGAAAATAACTTCAGTGACTCTGAAACCGATGCATAGTGCTCTTTAATGAAATATTCATCATTGTGAAACTCTTCCTTGTTGCTTTCAATATCTGGATGAAAGAAAAATCAAATGTTACAATAGACAACACTGAGACTGTTGCACATCTTGCAGGGCCAAGAGCACCGAACTCATAATGAAATTCAGGTCCACTAGTACACGTGAGTTATGACTAAATATGCTTATTGAAAACTACAACGCTGGCTGCGCATGAGTTGTTGACACATCCATGATAAATAATGGACTAGCCACGCAATGTTGTCACTGACTCTCAACGTCTATGAACTATGCTTGAAATTTGCAGGATACTGAAACTCTTGTCGAACAAAAATTTCTGGACAGAGAAAGAAAGTTTCAGCTTAGATACATGGTGAAGGTATGAAAAAAATGGGGCCGAATACTTTGCAGTATTCTTGAGGGACCTTGATGCAGCTCTTTTATTGTTATTCCCTGGTAATTATTATGCCACCATTACAATGCTCTTGGTTGGCCCATTGTCTAGAGCGTATACGTGGGTCGAAATACAGCTGTAAGGGCAGCGTAGTACATAACTCCCACGTATGTCTAATTTGTGAGCCATTATGCTTAATAACACACTCAGGTCAAGAATTGCTCATTACTCAGTATCACACTCAGTTAGTACAACATTGTTGTATCCTGTATTTTCAAGCTATAGGTCCTGACCTAGTAATGGTGAATGTTTAATACTCCACCTAGGTAAAAAAAAAAGGGATTGTGTGTGAAGGGGTCGGGGGTGTGAGGGTGCTCAAATCTTCATTTTTAACCATTTATCATGTATCCCATCCCTATTTTGTCTCCCTTTCTTTTTATACCATCCCTATATGCCTCTTTTAAATTTGCAGGGTTTTAATTTACTTGTTATTAGGGGGATTGCCCCCTTTCAGAAAGATATACGTAGTAGTATAATAAAAAAATAATAGTGGAGACAAGTAAATTAAAAATCCTGCGGATATGAAAAAAGATAGGGAGATAAGATAGGGATGTGATACATGAGGCATGGTTAACAAAGAGATTTGATCACGCTGACACCCCTAACCCCATCACACAATCCCTATTGTTGACTAGGTGAAATATTAAAACCCTTTGGATGCCATGGAGATCTGCTTAAATAAGCATAAATTGATGTATAAAGTATTAGTGCCTAGTATTATAACCCCCATATAAATTATTATGGACTTATGGAGGCTCTGGACACATTTATGTGTCCGCGGCTGGTTAAGTGTTAAACATACCACATTAGGACTAAACGCTTGAAAGTCATGCCAATGAGTAACTAACACCGTTACCATAACATTATGTAGGGAAAAGTCATGCTACTGAGTAGCCAAGAGTCCAAATGGAGTTTACGAGTGGCACACCAGGCAACAATATAGGGGTTGTGCGATGGGGTCGGGAGTGTCAGCGTGCTCAACACAGTTCATTAACCATGCTTCATGTATCCCATCCCTATCTTGTCTCCCTTACTTTATATACCATCTTTATTATGCCTCTTTTTGAATTTGCAGGATGTTTAATTTATTTGTCTCAACTCATTTTTATATACTACTACGTATTATCTCTGTGAAAGGGGACAAGCCCCCTATAAAAAATTTATAAATGCCTGTTGTCGTCATGGAAAGGATGTAATACACATGAATACCATGTGTGCTGCCATTAGCAAGCTTAAAGAGTGAAAAGGTAAAGGGATGAAGTAACAAACAAGTAAATAAAAAAATCCTGTGAATTACAAAAAAGAGCTAAGAGCAAGATAGGGATCGGATACACATGAAGCATGGTTAATGAACAGATTTGAGCACACTGAACCCCCGACCCCATCACACAATCCCTATATTATTGTGATCTCTGTGAAATGGGGCAAGACCCCCCTAATACTAGAAAAAATGGCTGTTGTTGTGGTCATTATGGAAATGATGTAATACGCAATGCATACCAAGTTATTCATCTCCATGCGTCTGTTAACAAGTTGGAGGAGCTAGTTTCTGAAAAAAAGTGCCTGGGGTTATTTTTTGTTTTTTACAAACATGTAGTCGTCATGGAAATGGCGTAATTCATATGCATACCAAGTTTCATCTTCATGTGTGCTACACCGTTGGTGTAAGATGTGAAGAAGGTATTTTTTTGGAACAAAATGTGGTCATCATGGAAATGATGTGACACACATGCGTACCAGCAAGTTTTATTTCCCTATGTGCACCATGAGCAAGTTTGAGGAGTGAGGAGTAATTTTAAAGAAAAGTGCTTGAGGCTAATTTGTTGTTGTTACACAAATAACATGTAGTTGTCATGGAAATTATATATACGTACCAAGTTTAATCTCCATGTGTGCTACCGTTTTAATTTTACAGAAAAGTGCCTGAGGCTATTTGTTGTTGTTTACATATATTGTTTTGATGTTGATGATTGTGTATAAAAGTTTTGTTCACATAACTCTTACAATTTGTGAGCTACATTGACACATGTATGCCCATTATAATGCATTGCCTAGGGCAATTAGTTGTTGTTAACCGTAAACACCATTGTTCACAAACAAAAAAGTATATATCTTTTGCCTTACAAAAGTTCGTTACTAAACTCTAAAATCAAACAATGAAGTAAAAGAAGAACACGAAAAAAACTCTTTGTCATAGCCCCATACATCATCACTACATACTAACTATGTACTACTGTACTTAGCGGACTCCATCCACCAACAGTGTGATGTAGAGCTTCTGTATGCTTTATGTACATAGTCCCTAGCTTAGCAGCAGCTATATATTGCAGCAGATTTGCGTAGATCATAATAGATGTCGGTGAACTGAGAGTGATGGCTACACAAGGAGTTGTCATAGTAATTTTGTGGGTTATGCATAGACTTGATTACATAATACCTGAGGCTTTTTTGTAGTGTCGAACACCTGCTGTGTGACACAAGAGTTTTCTGCACGTGATTTTAACTTCCTTCCCATCAAATGTCTTGTAGGGAAACAGAGGAACATATGACTGAACAGGTGCATCCAAATCTAGTAGGCCATCTTCCCACAGTTGCATTACTGCTACTGCAGTGAGACATTTACTGATGCTGGCAATTCTCATAACAGTTTGGGATGAACAGGTCACATCATTCTCAATGTCTGCATATCCAATCCCTTCACTCCACACTTTGTTTCCATCAACAGTTACGCAGACAACTGCACCAGGTATCCCTTGCTCAATCATAGATCTACATATTAACTTTCTGCTCTGTGCAATAGCTTCCAAATATGGCGACGGCATGGTAGACAAATTAGTGGCATCACTACAGGGAACAAAAAATACATCTTAGTATACAGCCCAATGCTTTGTAATGCTGAGTCTGTTCTTATATCGATGGGCAGATACAAGGGTTAATGTAGTAACCAGCAAAGGAGCCCATGAGGGGCAAATTAGCATAAAATAATTATTCTAGTATATACACGCTGGTGGACTACAACAAGTGCATGTCTACGAACTTAGTTATTATAGGCTTCCTCACCAGTAATGGACGTGTCAGTTTCAGATGCAATGATCCACTCTACTATGCACAGTTGAATGCCCATTTTTCATTATACACTTGATGATATAACATTATTGCAGACTTGGCACAATAAACATTTTTGAGCCGTTCGCACATGCGGTTATGATGTAGTGAAGTCTTGTAGCTGCAAGAAAAAAGCTCTGGCTGGTGTTCAGGTGGACCAAGAACTTACTTTTCCTCAATTGTCTATATGCCCAAGTGTGTACCACGGAAAACACTCGTGGCCTTGCTAATGCCAGCATGCCAATCTTGACAAAGTGCTGACTCAGCGGGGTCACTGGGTTGCATGGGTGAGCACACCAGTCTAGGACACACCTGATGACTGGTGTTCCTCTGATGTTAATCAATGCGCAATTGCTATTGCTGAGCTACAGCACACGTCATAATTATGTTGTAGTCAGCACATGTTCAGAGTTGTCAAGGTGTCACATGATGTGACTGTACAGAAACTGCACACGAATCCGATTCTTTTTCTTTCGTTGTCTACATCTATTCTCGAACCAAGTGCATGCACTATGATAAGAGGCTGAAAAGAACATCACTACGCATCACGGCGTTTAGTAGGTAAAGGTTTTCTCTCCATAGAGAATATGAATGTAGCTATGGAGGAGGAATAATTATGAACTTATGAGGATCTATTTCACGCATGCGCGTTATAACAACTGACTAACCTTGCCCTGTACGGCGAATTCTCGATTGCCTCCACTCCCGTTTGCATTGAACTGCAATAAGTCGCATCCTGCTTTTGACACTTCCACAATGCCGCAATACTAGCAGAGACTCCCCCGACGGCTACTATCCTCCACATCATCCCACCGCAATTTTCGCGCATGCGTAGATACTGTTGCACCCCGCCCGCTGAATAATTATCATCTACAATAATACCACAGTAAGTTACTATACTATCACTAGCTACAACAGAAATAATCTTAGTTCTTTCCTAGTTCAATGGTTAGAAGAGAAAATGCATTGGAGAAAGCTTCAAGCAGACACACAGACAAATCAATATCTTCACTCTCAATGCACCCAGAAATGCTGCTGAAGAATGTACTCAAAAACAAAAATTGAAGCCTTACAATTTCAGTAATTATATCAATGTGGTCAAAAGTTACCAGCACCTCAAAAGGTCGAGCAGCAGAGCCTTGATTTCCAGCAGCATATTTGTCCTGTTTGGTGCCCATTGTATGACGACTTGATCTACTTATGGAACGTTTCTCTTTCTCCAAATGCTGGATATTTTTGCTTTTGTATTGCAGCGCAATGATAGGAACATTGAAGAGGGGGTTACAAGAATTGAAAATGATTTCTTTTCCAACATTACTGACATCTTCAATATTAGGCAAATTGCTTGGATCAAAGCCGTGTTTCTTGAAGCATTGTACAAGTTCTTCAATGTTGAACATGTCATATAATTTTTTGCCCTCTGGATTATATATCATTGCCTCTTTCCAAACATTGAAAAGATTATGTTCAGCGTCATCAGATTCTCTTACAACATCCTGTTCCTGCTCTTTGTTGGTCAAAGATATCCCTTCCACAGAGATGAGGATGAAGAGCACAAAAAAGTTCCTTATTCCCATACTGGTCAACTTGGATTGAAAACTTCTCTCTTGCAACTCGCCATTTTATAGATGCCTGGCTTTGAAGGGATCTTTTTCTTGGTACGACTCCAGACGTTAACAATGGGCCTTAAGAGCATATCTGGCACTATTACATGCCAATACCTTGGCAATTAATGTGGCAAAATATCATGTTGCACAATACCTTTCACACACAATACATTGAAGACGGCTACTTATAATTAGGTAAGATTGTCTGCGAGAATTCAACAGATATATTGCGTGCCAGAACAAGAATTTTGATGCTGTTAGGAATGCCCGGAGATCGAAGCACTAGAAGTAGGCTATAATTCATACTGGTTCCATGAAAAGCTTTCTGTCTACTAGCAGACTATATACACGGAAAGGAAAGCTTACAACTTTTCCGTAGAGGTTCTTTGTTGTTTTCTCCCTGCACGTACTGAACATATACCATGTGGAAGGTATGAATTGTGGCAATAATAATAATACTCAGATGGCTGCCATAGCACTAGGGCCATAGACCACACACCCAGAGCAATGGGCAGAACCGTCAACAAACGAACATACACCATATGAACACGAGGTGTCTGTCTCACCTCGCCAGACACCTCAACTCACCCCTTCCACCATCGACACCCTGCAGCTCCCGACGCAATCTGAGACTGGGTCTGTTGTACGCGGGGATTATCGCCGTATAACCTAACCTTCCTTAGTTCCCAAACATCCAAACCTTTAACAAGGCCAAGCAAAGAACCAAAATTATCCTCCCACAGCTCACTACCCAATATAAAGGTTGAAACTATCAAGCGACTGGAAATGCTCAAACCCATCATCCCCAAGCTTCTCCTGCAGGGCAACTAAGAAATTGCTCCTAAGACTACTATATGCTGGACACTCCCACAACACATGACTCACACTTTCACACTCATCATCACACAACAGGCACTCCTTCATACCCTCCCTCCCCCTATGCCTACCCAGTTCCTCATTTAGCCCATGCGTGCCTGACCTGAACTAACAACCAGCATCACTTTTCCCCTGCAATACTATATAGAAGTTCGGCTACACATGAACGTAATACCATATCTAACACCTGACATTCTTGTCCAACTTTTTCCCCTCTGCACCGTAAAGACAGTAGCACACTCCATCAGTGGCACATTTTAGTGTTTCTAACAGCCTAACGGTGATCTTTTTACCAACAAAACTGTTCATATCACACACATACCAATGAGTGATACACAAAGGTGTGGCATATACACCATTTCTGGTAAACCATTACTCATAAGAAAAGCAGAGCAAGGTGCTAGTGGAGACAAAGGGCAGCTTCTCTCACTACTGGACAGGAATCAAACGGTATATATATATATACCTGAGCACTTCCTTGGAGAATTTATCACTCTGTCACATCCAAAGGTGTGACCACAATTTGAATAGCAGCAGAAAGCTAATTACCCTTTTGTGGCATTGCAGCCTAGCCACCTCGTTTCCTGGCAGGCCAACTTCCAAACCCAGTTAGATGAATAGATCATAGATCTATAACACTTCACCCATGAGAGCGGAATTTAATCTTTGGAACCAGCAAGCCATTATCACATAATACTCATCATATCTGGAGATGTATGCAGACTTTGTACTTACTTAGTATTTACTAGATGTCAAAACCCACACTCTACACTTTCAGACAATAGTTATTGGTCTGTTTTTTGGAGCAGTACTTTCACTAGCTATTAGCATTTACACCTCTTCTGTGACAATCTATCTTCTCTATGGCTTGGCAGTTCGCTCACGGCCATAATTCCTGAATAAATGTCGACATTATACATTGACTACAGACACACCAAGTACACAGTAACCCTCGCTGTGCATGCGCACCGAGAGTTTAATAAAAATTTGCAGTACATATATCATTAACAGCAACATTGCCCAATATACGCAGCACATTACTGTGACATTCAAGCAATGCACCACACAATTTAATCCAGTTTACAGACGGCGTCCCCTGCGACCACCCTTTCTCCTTGTACTGTCTGATGGTATTGGAGTCACATCCTCTACAAATAAAAATATGAAAAGCACTAAAGTGCAAACCCTCGGCATACTATATAGACGTGTGCAGATGTCTGCATTGCGCATGCACGTGTCAGTACCACAGGCTGAGCTACGCTTACTCGTGTTGTGGTCTCTAGCTAACTCCGATCCGAGTCTGACACAGGTTAGATGGCGTTTAAGGCATAGCAAGACTCGACAACTCGCCCTCCGTGGTAACTTCCATTGGCTCTACGGTACGCAAACAGACAGAATGCTGTTGAGGTATGCCAGTCATAATTTGCATATTGGCTTTTTCGCTCATGTTTCACGCTGTAAACCTCTCGAACGCAACAGTTTCAGAGAAATTGCTACATATTTTACGACCTATACCTGATGCTGAATACGTGGTATTGTTTGTGGAGCGATTCATGATGTCGAGGTACGGACAGACACGAAAACTACAATAACCCTTGCTGCGTACGGGTGCTGAGGGTAAAAAAACAGGAATTTTTTATCTTGGTAACCGGGCTTCATGCAGTCCTATCAACGAGTAATACCATGTTTCCTCAGTTCTAGACCACTAGGTTGCTCGATACTATGGAGTCCCATCATAAAGGACATGTCACCATCCCAGCAGAGCTTTGTTTGTAGAAAATCGTACATTTTTATACTGCCTTCTGCGAACATGGCTATTACAAAATTCCATCTTTAGTAAACAAAATGTGACTGTCCACAAGAAGTCGGAAAAATGGATTTTCCCCCTCAGAAGCCGAAAAGGATAAACAATTAAAAGTGTCCAGCTGTTCTATAGAGTAAACTGTACCGTTCCCGTTTCACTTCCATTTGCTGTCCATTCCGCACCGTTTTCACCCATTCCGATCTGAATCGGTATGCCACGTCTATTTTCTCTCAGCGTTATGTTCGTTACTGAATTTTCGCTGCGTGAACACCAGACCATCAGTGAGTCCTTACAAGTATAGAGCAATTCTGAAGCTTTCAGCCATGAAAGAAGTAGGTATGGGCGCACGTCGGGTGAAGCGGGTGCAGTTGTAGGAAGCAGAATGACAGAGCTCCCGTGAAGCTGTGCGAAGGTAAGGAAGGACTGCAGTAAACTGGCCCTCTGGTGTGGTTCTTTGACAAAAACTTGGTAGGTACAACAGCGGCAAAAAGAAACGAGACGGAACGGCACAGCAAAAAAACGGGACAGCAGTTGAAACAGACTCTCATTCCGTTCTGGTTTCGATTGAACGGCCGTTCTTCGAAACGAAAACGTGCACTTTTATAAGACGCCTACTGTAGCAATCCAAAGCATACAAGGGGGGAATCACAGAAAATTCGCCTCTAGCTCTCTAGAAAGCCAGAGCATACACATACCATACTTGTGATATCTTGCTCTCAGGTGAACACACACACAAAAGAATTTATTACTTACAAAACATTCTCATAGTGAGCTACAGTAGGTGTAATTAAGTGTGCATTTCTGTTATGTAGAACTGCCGTTCAACAGGGATCGGTTTCGGCTCATTTCCGTTTCCATGCGGTCGTGGAAAACTGTTTTTGCCGCTGTGGTAGCTATACATACCAAGCTTCTGCGTAGAAGACCCCACGTCAAAAGGCCAGCTTACTGCGGTCCTTTCTTACCTTCGCGGGAGCTTTGTTGTGTCGCTTCCCACAACCGGCACCCCTACCATTCAATTGCTTATTATTACGTATTACATCCTTTTCGTGGCTAAAATCTTAAGAATTTACTGCTCTATATTTGTAAAGACTCGCTGATTGTAGTCTGGCATGCAGCACCCGTGAAAATTCAGGGACAAAATTATGGCACACCGATACAGAACAATAAAATAATGAAAAGCACTACAGTGCAAACCCTCGGCGAACTGCGCATGCGCGGTACTGATAATTGATGGGCTGGGCTATTTCTTGGTGGTCTCCCGCTAGTATAGCTCGCGGAGAGTCTGACACGGGCAAGCTACAGTAGTAGATAGCATGCGGGAGTTGACACGCCCTTCGTTGTGACTTGTTGTGCCTTCAAGATACACAGAGCAAGCGGGCCCGGTCGAATTAGCATAATAACCGCATGCACATTTTCCGCAGCGATAAAAATGGCCGACTACGCATTAGCCGAACAATGCTTGAAGCGCTCTAGCTTTGCAACGGAGCATTTTCAGAGAAAACCGCACAAAAGTTTTGACCTCCATTGCCCATTGAGTAGGTCGTATCGTTTGTGAGACGAACAAACACTCGAGAAGTGAGGTGTAGAGTAACAGACACACAGACAGACAGACAGACCCAACTACAGTAACCCTCGCTGCGCATGCGCGCCGAGGGTTAATAATGAACAGATGAAAAAAGTATAGAACAGGCAGAAAGTTTAACAGAAGCGAAACAGGAATGCAACAATACCGTCTACTTCGTAGAACGGCCATTGTATGGAACAGAAACGCACACTTTTTAATTGTGCATCCGTAATCACCTACACAGCATGATAAATGTATTTAAAAAATAACACTTACCAATTCTTCCGATTTTCATATTGGCTCTAGCCAGGGCTCTCAATGCACTTTGGGCTCCAGGACCTAGAGTCTTCGTTCTAAAATATACGCACACAAAAACTATGTAAAGGCAACAGTACCGTGGCCACAAAAGTGAATAGTATAATTAAGGTATATATAGTGGATAAATAATCATTTATAGTACACTATGTTAAAAGAAAAACCCTGTAGAAAGTTTTGGGCTACAAGCGTATTTGTTCACTCATCTTTTAAAATCCACGTGAACATGGACTACTACTTCAAATCCAGAGATGTTGGTAATATGTGATAGGCTCTGAGAAAACGACCCTTATGACGTACGTAGTATTGTTGTAGTAGCGGCGGTTTTACATGGCGAACTGCATAATTTACCGATTCCCGTTTTCCCCGTATTCTAGTAGCTCTGCCTATGGTCCATAGTCTGTGCAAGTTTGACGCACTGACTCCGTTCCGTTCCGTAGTTATGGCCCTGGGTACCAGGGCCATAACCGTTACTCGTGCCGTTGTTACGTGGAATCACAAGGAACCGTGACACGGGAATAATCAAACCTTTTACGGAGTCACGTAAACGGGAAATCCCTTCCCCACAGAATACGGAGGCGCACGGAAATGGCTTCTACTACCAAGACCGCTCACGTTGATTACTATACCTGTTAGTAGTTCTTGTGATCCAGACAGTGACAGTTGAAGCAGATGTTGCCGGTATAAGTAAAAACATGATAAAAGCACCAGTAATACTACAGCAAGAAATAGTTGATGCGGAAAAACGTGTATAAAAGGGTCTGTCAGATGAGCGGCAATGGTACAGTATAAGCGGATCCGCCCCTTCTCCTCCAGGAGCATCGGGACACAGTCACTCTTCGGGGATCCTTGCCCAATCCCAAGAAAAGACGGACGCCTGCACCCGAAAGAATACACACAGAGAGAATAAAATACTTCTTGGTGCTCCCAAAAGCACAACATCCAACTAAAGTAGCACGACGTTTCTTCGTGCTCAAGTCTGATGTTTATTTGCGCTTGTATGTATGCTAAAAGCGCTCCCTCCCCCCAATAGCTTACTTACACTTTCCTTCCAGGTGCGACAGCTTGCATGGCAGCAACCCATGTACCCGCTTCTCCTCCCCACAGCATCAGAAACATGAGCGACGGCAGCCGGTACAGAGAGACAGCCCTGACAAGGAAGTCCGGAAGTATGCGCAATTCCGAGTGATGATGTAATGTTGTGAAACGGACGGGGAACGAGAATACGGAGGTTGAAATTGACACTGGAAGTTCAACTTCAGACGTGATTTTTCACGTTCAACGCGGCAGAACGGCACTCACATTTGTTATCATAACTTCGCAACTATGTGCCTGAAACAAACTGCAAACTGTAGAGCATTAGTGGGCCTATTTTATAGGAAAAAGTTTTTCCAAAATTGCGTCGTAAGGGTCGTTTTTTCAGAGCCTGTCACTCCCTATCCGTTTCACAACATTACATCATCACTCGGAATTACGCATACTTCCGGACTTTCTTGTCAGGGCTGTCTCACTGTACCGTGTAGCCAAGGCTGCCATCACTCACGTTTCTGGTGCTGTGGGGAGGAGAAGCGGGTATGTGGGTCGCTGCCACGCAAGCTGTTACACCGGGAAGGAAAGTGTAAGTTAACTATTGGGGGGAGGGAGCGGTTTTAACGTACATACAAGCGCAAATAAACCTCAGACATGAGTGCGAAGAAATGTCTAGCTACTTCAGTTGATGTCGTGCTGTCGTGAGCACCGAGAAGTATTTTATTCCATCTGTGTGCATGCAGTTAATTTCTTCTGGTGCAGGCGTGCATGTTCTCTTCGGGTTGGGCAAGGATCCCAGAGGAGTGACTGTGTCCCGATGCTCCTGGAGTAGAAGGGGCGGATCCGCTCATACTGTACCACTGCCGCTCGTCCGATAGACCCTTATATACACGTTTTTCTGCATCAATGATTTCTTGCTATAGTATTACTGTGTTTTTATCATTATTTTTATTTATACCGGCAACATCTGCTTCAACTGTCACTGTCTGGATCACTGTAAGCAGAAAAAAGGAGGTAGAAATTACTAGGTACGTATGATCTCCAGTTGGTGTTATTATGACTAAGATTCCTGTGAGAACCGCTCTTACTGAGGTGTGGACATACAGTCTTCACTTAGCCATACCAGAATGTACTAGTACATCTTGAAAGTGTTCGAACATCTGCTTAGACATGGGACGTGTCAGCATCATAATACTGCCCACGTGCAGCCTGCATGTACAGTACCGGTCATTTGGTTAATATGGTAGTACTGCGAGGGTACAGAAACACTACCAAACAGTACCACAACGGTACTTGAACAGTAGTATAACAGTACTTGAACAGTACCAAGAGGGTACTTATACTCCGGTACGTTAACTGTTTTTTTTACCTAAGCAAGGTGCGCAATATGTCTCTCTAAGTGTGACTAATATTGTAGTCCGTGATCTCTCTGGTCTCAACGTTGGCATGCACCACACACTTGGGCAAGGCTTGGGCCAGGGCGAGATTTCAAAGAATATAGGGTTCTGGGTATTTGTTGTACCTTCACTGAAAATTTTGCTTCTATAACCTGTTCTGTTCCAGAGATATCGTGTAGCGGGCCTATGAAAACAATAAATACGGAAGTAGCTATTGAAGGGGTGGCTTATTATTGTAAGCGCATTTAACCAAGATGCGTGACTCAATTTTGAATTTTTGCGTGGAAATTTGCCCTTTTTATACTCTGCGACACATGGGTAATTTGCAAGCAAATGGGAGAGTTAAATTTCACTTGTACTGTAAATTTAGCTGTGGACAGTATTTTTAATTAAGCTATGGACAGTGATCGGTCTACATACAAACAAAATTCCACAATTAGGGCAACATAGGTGGGTGACACAATACAATTAAATGGACAAAATTTTAAAATGCAGGTATACACTGGCAATATCTTTATTAAACACATACTTGGTTCCCCCACTAGCTCTCATCTTGATATGCAGTGCAGTTATGCCCCTCTCTTTACATAATGCTGCTACATCCTGTGCAGCAAGCATTGCAGCGTAGGGACTGGCCTGTTGGTAAATACGATGTTAGGTGAGTCAACAAAGCTGAACTTTCAGTAAAACTGCATAATGCACGGTCATCAGGTTCATTGATAAAGAATCCACGTATATAATTATGCATGCACTATCAAAGACACACATACGGCAGACCTCGTGTCATTAACCCTCGGCGCGCATGCGCAGCGAGGGTTACAGTAGTTGGGTTTGTCTGTTTGTCTGTTACTCTACATCTCACCTCTCGAATGTCTGTTCGTCCCAGAAATGATACCATCTACCCAACGGGCGACGAAGGTCAGAAAATATGTGGGGTTTTCTCTGAAAATGCTTCGTTGCAAAGCTAGAGCGCTTCCACCATTGTACAGCTAATGCATAGTCGGCCATTTTTACCGGTGTATCTTGAAGGCATAAGAAGTCACAACGAAGGGCGTGTGTCGACTCCCGCATGTTATCTACTACTGTAGCTTGTCCGTGTCAGACTCTCCGCGAGCTACTAGCGTGGATACCACGAGTAAACGCATACTAAAAGCCCAGGGATTTACGTGTAAAAGGGCGAGCGCAGTCTTATAGCAGACGCAAGTGTGGCACTTCGCGTAATTACGCCAACTCATATTTGGGTATTTAAAATCTATTATGCATAAAACTACAATACACAGTAATGGGCTACTAAATTGCACGACGAGTAAGCGCGGTCCTAGTTCGAATGTGGCGCAATTTCGCGCATTTACGCTGGTTGATTTTCACGTAGTACTGCGCTATCACGCCCCCTTTACCGGCGCGCGCGCCCGCGTAATCGCACAGAATATCGCGTACCATTTTACGCAGGGAAATTATGGCATTTTATCTTGTATATTAAGGCTTTGCCATCAGGTCTTGCTTCACAACTATTCATATTCCTCATCCATATTAATACAGTCCCAATGGGAGAGAAAACTAGTGCGCGACGTCATTAGTAGCGAATGGCTCTTTGCCATTATGCAAGACAAGGGGTGTAAAGCAAGGGTTTCCCTCCGGACAGGTGCTAAGAAAGAGAAACAGACCTCATCTCTGTCAGCCTTGACTTTCATTCCACCAGTCACCCGAGCAATGGTCTCACTACGGAATTAAAAGGTACAAAAGAATGTATAGTGGACTGTAAATGTGGTGGGTCCAGACTCATTAACTGCTGCTGACATACAAACTAAAACAATGCTGCTGGCAGTCACAAATGCCCCTTCGCTTCACCACAATATTTGTTCAAACTCTATGTATGTCAACCCGGTTGGGGAGAGGGTTGAGCCTCAAGCACACAAGGTATTTGACTGACCAAGGCATACTGTAAATCCTTCATTTTCAGGCACCTTTATTTTAGCGATTAACGCAATAAAACATACTTTTATTTTAGTGATTTTGGTGATGACAGCATGAGGACAGTAGTACTACAGAACCAGTGACGCAAAAGTGACTTTACAGTACCAGTGATAGAACAGTGTTAGACTACAGAATCCTTAATTCCGGCTTTTACAAATCATTCAATGATCACATCACTAGAAATGTGTGAAATAGCTTCAATAAGCCAGTTTGCATGAAGTGGCTTTATGATTGATATGCGGAGATCTGGCTTAATATTATCCAGCTGCACTCCATCTCTCAACTGGTCCTTGACCAGTCCAGGATACCACCTGATAAAACATGCTTTTAATTCCTGTTTGAACACTTGATTGGCTGTAAGATCCAGTGGCTGAAGCTCTCCCGTGCAATTAGGTGGTATAAAGCAGCATTTGATGTGATGTTTTTCCAGGGCTTGAAGAACACTTTCACACCTGTGTGCGGCAAAGACGTCAAAAAGTGCAAGAGAGAAGTGATCATCATCCAAGCACAATGTTTGCTTGGCACATAGGGGACAAGAACACAGTCAATGAAGTGTAGCATGGTAGCTTCTGTACTCCAGTGGTTCTCTGAATGATGAATGTCCCATCCAGGAGGAAATGCAATATTTGGATGCCATTTGTTTGTCTTACCACAGTAGATCAAGTGTGGAGGGAGCAGAAAACCAGACACTGTGCATGATAGGAGAACAGTCATTTCTCGCTTATCTTCTTTGCCAATAACATCAATCTGTCTTGACCCTTCCTCTGCCAATGTCCACACACTAGTCGGTACATATTTAGCACCTGTCTGGTCCCAGTTGATAATAAGCTCTGGGGGGATCTTATGCACTTCAACACAATCAACAATACGCTTCAAAAAGGCAAGCTTGATCTCAGGGAAATCTGTCGGAACCTTACGTGCAGCCTTGGTTGCCTTGCGTTTAACAAAGTTCATTCGCGATAACAGAGAATCTGCCCATTTCTTTCCCAATTGAATTGTGCCTCCATGCTCACACAACAATGCAGGATTGTTGTATTCAACAACCCCCTTAGCGGCAGCGATAACAATAGCTCTATTGACCAATCCACCAGCTAAGCGAAGTTTTCTAATATAATCCTGAACATTAGAATCTAGATCCCCCTGCTTGAGCGGTCGTCCACGAAGACCGTGCTCGAGTTGCGTGACAGGCTCGCCCATCCGGTTTTGTTTCAAGGCGTCATAGTAGCGTTTCTTCAAACCCCGTACAGTACTCTCGCTCACCGGCTTTCCCACCTCTTTAGAAAACTTCTCAACGGCTGCCTTGTTCCCCGATTCGGCCGCGAACTTTCCAATTTTAGCACGTAATTTGGGCGAGTAGTATGTGTAGTTACCCTCTGGGACGTTTGCGTTGCAGCTGAGACTCCATAGCTTCCAAAACTCTCGTATTGGCATTGGTGACCTCAAGCTCTTTCTCTTTGGTCTTTTCCTGGGCCGGATCTGGTAGAAACGGCTTGTTCGACGAACTAGAAAACCAGCGGTAAAGCGACATGACGATCCCAAGAGCTCCACGTGCCGATCACGTGATCAGTTAATTTTGAACGAGTCCAAAATTTTAGCGCCCGCCAGGAAATCGTGAATGGCGCGAAAATTATAGGACCACAAAAATAAAGGGATTTACAGTATGTGACCCTATATGCGGGAATCAGGCATAAATTGCAAAAACGAATTCGAGATACACATAAGCGTTTGTAGCTGTATGCGCAATGAACGCATGGCATTTTATGGGTCTCCACGCACCGTTCTATGAACGAAACAGGTTAGATATGTGACGAAGGTAAAAAAAGGACTGGTCATGTGAAATCAGGTGAAATCTCGAAAATATTATGCCAGGTTCTCATGTGCACATTCACATACTCGTGGCTAAAATTGCAAGAATCTAGCACCAACTACCTAGACACACTTATAGTCCTTGGCAAGAAACACCACAATTTAAAACAGCTGTTGTATCTGCCGACAGATGCAAAAGACGTGGGTCCAGGACCTTCAAACATGCACATACAATATTTCCACGTGTGACTTGGTAAAGCAACCACAGTAGCCACACCTCTATTCACCCACCGTCCAGAGAGGTCTGTAACGTGAACGAAGGTGTCATTGAAACTAGCGAAAATGTGGCAAACTCCAAACACTTCCTCCCCCTCAGGAACTTGAGGACCCAAGGAGACGTTCTCTTCTTGTTGTGCAGTCTTCTTACGTCTGGCCATTATGGCTGAAATATACAACTATTAAAGTTTATCACACCTAGAACATGCTGTATTAGTCACCGTACTCCGCGAATCCCACAGATTTCTACTTCCGTACGTACCTTTCGCCTGACAGATTTCTTCCACGCGTCAAAAAGCACACGTACACGTACGTACACATGCGCAGAAGATCACGGGGGCGTATCCGGAGTCTGGCCGTTAAAAACACTTTTTAGATCTACGTATGTAACTATGTTCTAAACCCTGCCTTCGGACGTAGCTATTTTACTACAGGAATCACAGACTCTCGTTGAAACTGATGTGTTCGAAAGTAAGTTCGACCATCGGATGGTCCTTTTGAGAAGGTATTTTGTTCTCCTTCATATAATCTACAAGTTATGTGAACTGATGATGTCTTATAGATAACAGGTGCCGTTAAAGCACGGTGTTATATTAGCACATATGTCAGTGCCGAGGCCAGTGCTTACCCAGAAATACTGACACTGGCTATTGGTTTCCAAATAGCGCCCACCGCATCCGAAAATCGGCCTCTTGGTGCGAATTGTGGACAAATATAGTGCTTCCTGTAGTCGTGCATGCAGTTTCACCTTTCTTTTGACATAGTCATCTAAACGTACTGTGCAATGCACTAGTCTTGAGAAAGGGCACACACCCAATAAGCATAAGACAAGGGTCTACATTATGGTTCGCATGATGTGTGTAGTGGCTTTGATGATGCGTAATGTAGGTACACATGAATGGGCATATGACATAATAACTGGTGTAATGTAACAGCCAAGTAATGTGTAGGATCAGCTTATTGTTTTAGCCTTATTATTTTTCCCATAAATAAGCATCCCAAAACAAACTTTGATAGTGTGTTTAGTTATCCCCCCTTGTCAAGTGGGATAACCATTTTCACTGTACCCCCATCTTCATGCATGAATGTTACTCGTATGTATGTATGTTGTCCATTGACATATTTTGGCTGCCACATGCAAAATGTTGCGTTGTACATTTAGAGTTTCTGTTTATTTTAGTAAATGTTCAACACAGCAATCTGTTTTTTTTGGGCGGGTCATTTATCTGCAGCCTTGTGCAAGGATCTCATACTCTCCACTGGGTACTGAAAACTATCAGAGTTGTTATACGAACCACAATGTTTCATTCCTTTGTCCGTGTATTGTGTACATATAGCTCTTTTCTCTGCATGTCAATCACTTCTGTGTACAATACACACTAAGCCCGACAAATGACTTCAGAAATGTGTAACTGTTGTAGGCAACATGGCTATGGAGGTGAAGAGTGTGGAGTTGGAGCGGCAGACAACGGCTAGTAACCCCAATGGAACGTTTGGATTTTCTGTACTTGGAGGATCTGGAACAAAGTTCCCTGCTGTTGTATGTGAGATCGATGCAGGCGGGCCAGCCGATCTGTGTGGCAAGGCAAGGGTTACATACATACGTAACTTTGAGTATTGATTAATTTTCTTGTTTCTACAGATTCGTGTTGGTGATAGGTTGGTCTCTCTTAATGGGGAGGAGCTTGACAACCTCACACCGAATGAATGTATGACTGTTGTCATTATTTCATAAACCACTGCAGTTGCAATGCAATAGCTTGTTTTTCAGGCCTTGTTCAATTGCTTGTAGAAGCTTGAATGAGTGCAAGTGTGTGTTCATTATGTCTGCAGTGGTTCAGAGAATCAGAAGCGCTCCCAGTCCTTCCTCATTTGTGTTGGGTGAAGGTCAGTCTTGTTGTATTTTGAACAATGGCTGTGTTTTGTTCCTACGTATTGTTATAGGTACATGTTACACACTACATTTAGTAGTACAAATCGTCTTTGTTACGATCTGGAAGCTGATAGTAACTATGGAAACAGCGACAAATTACTCTGCAATTGTTGTACATGCATGATAAAAACCACCCACACCAGTAGCCTTGTTCCCAGACTCCCATTCCTCTGCCCACACTCTTTATGTGTATGACCTTATACCTAGAGAAAGGTGGAGGGAGAGCCTTTTACATCTGGGCACGTGAGCAACGTCACAGTTGACTGTAGTTTGACGCTTGAGCTTCGGGGTGGACACAATTTGAGTAGGCGGAGTGATGGGGGAATTTTTCGAGCACGAGGAAGACCATCACAGATTATGGAGCCGCCTTTCGAGTGTTGTACGAAGTAGCCATTATACGATGCTACATTTGCAACAAGGTAGGTCAAGATATCACAAACTAACTGTTAGAGATGGAGATGTCAGGTCATACGTTCCATGCCTGAGTGGTTGCAATCATACCATGGCCACTTCGCAAGACGCTCTGAGGGCCAGCTCTAACCTAAATATGTAGGTCATCCTCCGCATTGTAATCTCCTATCACTCCACCTACTCTGTTGCGTATGCATCAAACGGTGTCCACCTCTGAGGGCCAGCTCTAACCTAAATAAGTAGGTCATCCTCCGCATTGTCATCTCCTATCACTCCACCTACTCTGTTGCGTATGCATCAAACGGTGTCCACCTTGAAGCTCTAGCGTCAAACGGTGTCCACCTTGTGAAGTTGCTAACGCGCCAAGATGTACCATGCTCCCTCTCTGCTTCTCTGTAGGTAAAAGTGTACGTGCAGAGAGGTTGAGCCTGGGAATGAGGCTACAACACCAGCAACTAAGATTTATTTGGTTGCCAACTCTGTACATCCACCAACTACATATACTCCTTTTTGAGAAGCTTACTTTGTATCCCTAAACAGTGTGTCTCTGTGTGGGGTAGTTTTGCCAACAAAGATGCAGTACTGTAATAATTGGTGTGCAGCTGAAGGAAAGACTTAAGCCTCGGTGCACATTCACAGAGAGAGCACTTGGTCCTTGTGTTTGTCTCTTGTTTGTCTGTGGCTATTCTTGCAGCCTATGAACGAGAGTAACAGCTTAGAACCATGCGAACCTGAATTATAACCTGTATCAACTCATCCATGCTACAATGTATGTCTCAACAACTTGGTAATGAGGTGGAAAGGCAAGGCAAGGCAAGCAAGTAAACTACACCCAGGACAGCTCTTTCTCTTCAAAGAAAAGAAGAGCTGCCCTGGGTGGGATTCGAACCCACGACACTCTGCAGTCTAGGTGAGCACTCTACAAACTGAGCTACCAGGGCAACTCAGCTGGTGGGGGTTCGAATCTACAACACAACACAACACAAGGCAAACCTCAAACCACTGTGCTATGGCACAGTATACTCTCACTCGGTGTGTAGGAGCAGACCGGGATAATTAAACCACCAAAGACGCCTAACTCCAAACTTAGTATATGCATGTCTCAACAACTTGGTAACGAGGTAGAAAGGCAAGGCAAGGCAAACAAGTCAACTACTAGTCCATTCACGTCATGTTAATTACCCTTTACTCTATTGCGCAGTGCTTGATTCTATTTTGTATCTCTTAAAGATTCTATTCCTTTTGGTCATGGTTTGGTAGCAATCCAATGCATTGGTTTCTTTTCGGCAAGTGCATTCTTTAACATATACTATGGTGTATCTATATGCCTGTGTCAGACTCTCCATGAGCTACAGTGCTAGCAGGAGACCACGAGTAAATGCATCTTTTATCCCACAGCCAATTGTGCATACGCAGTGCTCCAAGGGTTTGCACTTTAGTACTTTTCTTTGTGTCTAGCTATAATTATATTGCACTAGTATTGAATAGAATATGGTGCTTTGAATACTTACAGACTAAAGTTTTGCAATTACAATTTTGCCAAGTGCTGATCATAAATGGCATATGTTTAGCACACAGCCTAAAGAAAGAAAACCCAACCTACCCCAATCCTACGCTCATCTAGAGTACTGTGTCATGGGTCGAATCCCACCTAGGACAGCTCTTTTTTTATTCTTAAAAAGAGTTGTCCTAGGTGTCGTTGTGTTGTGTGGTTTCCCCTTTGCCTTGAGACCTCTTTGTTGAGGACCAGGCGGAGGGTGACTGACTGGCTAAAGCTATCTTGCTAAGATAACCATGATACAACAACACCACTGTTGCAACCTCTCAAGATATCATGTACATCTGTTCAGAAAAGGTGGGATAAAACATCATTTTATTTATGTTTGTCGAGCTCTAACAATATCTTTGATATCTTATTGCACATGCGTGTGTGCGTTGGTGCCTGCATGTGCACATGGATGAGATAATTCCATAGGGATGACAGACACCCTTTGGTAGCAATATCAAGGTTCAGCCACATGAATGGGCTGACAAGGCTTGTACGGAGTGATGGACAGCAGGCTTCATTAGCTGGAAGTGAGGCAGGGCAAGTGCAGTGTGAAGCTCTGTTGTTCAAGGCACCCGGCAGAGGATGAAATTACTGCATACATATTTGTTGTGTGTAAGTCAGAGAAGCAGGCTGATTGAAATGCTGATTGTTACATATCAGAAGGGACCCATTCAGCATCTACTGGAGGATAGTCTTGCCTAGTGTCCCTGGAAAGATCTTCTTCAAAAGTCTAAGGGACATGTGTAGATTCATTGACTTGTTATTTATACTCCATATTCCTGCTGAAAAGGCAAGATAGTTCATCACTACCTAGCCGTCACTTTTTTAATACCAATGTAACACCTTCACTTTCCAGAAAGATATCAAACCTCTGTCTTTGACCTGTAATTGGTCAGCGAAAAGATATCAAACCATTGAGGTGTAATTGGTGAGCAGAGCGAGCCTCCTTAGTCAACTGAAAAAGGCATAGTTTTTAATTGTAGTATATCCAACAATGATGATGGCAGCACTGCCGCACACACAATGTACCTTCCTATGCCGTGCACGTGGGACTCTGACATTTGCTCGCCATTGTTATTATCAATGGTTCTAGTGTACCTCCGTTGGTAGAGCACTTGCCTAGAGTGCAGAGCGTCGTGGGTTTGAATCCCACACAGGGCAGCTCTTGAGTTGTCCTGGGTGTAGTTGTGTTGTTTTCCTTCGCTTTGCTTTGACTTCATCGATGTTACATAAGTCCTTGTATGCTTCACTTATTCACATATCCCTCACCATGTCATAGATGAAGGAGTAAGAGAGCAGGTACTTTCTCTGTTGAAGAAGCAAGAGAAAAGGGCACAAGCCAGGCAGCAGCGAGCACAGCAACAGCAACAAGTTCACAAGTTAGTTTACATACCACTGCTGGTGGACAGGCGTGGAGGTTCACACACTCCTACCTTGTAACCTTTTTTGCACACAGACACAGGCATTTACCCCATGCTTTCATTTTTCTCCCGTTGTGGCCATTTATAAATTTCAGGCGGTGCCAAAACCAGTCCGTTTGTGAACAGGAAGTCATGTCTATGACAACCAGGAAGGCACTGTAGGTCTTACAGGCGGCGAATATTACCTGTGCGTCCTGATGCTTGCCGTAGCTAAACTCTTTTTAGTTGCATATTATGTGTCTAGCTACCTGTCTAGTGTTGTAAACCAAGTTTGCTCACAAGTGTTCTTCTTGTTGCAGAGGTGTTCCACCCGTGTTGGGAAAGGAAGAAAAGGATAAGAGAAAAAAGTAAGCCTAACTGCATTGATAATTGGATTTCCAATGAGCATTGTTCATTAAAAGGGATGGCCTCTAGTAAGGGGCAAATCATCACGGTTAGCCGATGCGTTCAAGTGGCAATACCACTTTTCGTTTGTGGATGCTTGTCCCGTGTAGCTATGTACGTACACCTTTGACACAGCCGAAACCGGCCTTAGAGCCATCTTAATACTTTGCAGGTCTGTGTTGACTCACTCCCAGTAGGGCTCCACCTGTTTTTGACCTCTGTAGTGTGTACATGAAAATGCATGTAACATAACTTCGCATTACCATTATTAGCCCTTACAATAGGTGGAATTCTCAATTGCAATATCATCAATGACGTTGTAAAGTTAACGAACGGCTCATTCTTACTAAATAAGAAAAAATATATACCTAGTATTTTGTGTATGAGAAACTAGCAAACACACAGTCAGAAAGCAAGTTGTACTATATGTGTGTATCACTACTAAGTTGTCCAGCATATAGTAGTCTTAGGAGCAATTTCTTAGTTACCCTGCAGGTGAAGCTTTGGGATGATGGGTTTGAGCATTTTGATATTGGATTGTGAGCGGTGGGGGGATAAATTTGGTTCTTTGCTTGGCCTTGTTAAAGGTTTTATTCTGCATGTTTGGGAGCTAAGAAAGGTTAGGTTATACGGCGATAATCCCAGCGTACAACAGACCCAGTCTCAGATTGCGTCTGGGGAGCTGCAGGGTGTCGCTGGTGGAAGGGGTGAGTTGAGGTGTCTGGGAGGTGAGACAGACACCTCCGGTTCCGCCCATTACTATGGGTGCGTGGTCTATCGCTCTAGTGCTATGGCAGCCACCTGAGTATTATAAGTACGGTAGTACTTAGTATAATTATAGGGATGACACAGGTTGTCCTGCATTATGTCCATACATTTGAGATTTTCATGTTTCACTTTAAGATTCAATCAGATCCAATTTCTGACACATCAGACTGATCTGTATCGTCACAAAGAGCATGTATCCAAGAAATGGCTTAAATCACATAATCGGTACTTGATTTATTATTCTTCTTGCTTGTGTGGAGAAATTTTACAGGAGCAAGCGATGTCAGTTCAAAGTATACATGTAGCCATCATCCATTGTACTACTGCATCACGTTCACTAGGTCATCCCTGTCTTGCTTTTTATGGCATCCCTATATTCCACACTTTTTAATTGGAAGAATTTTCGTAATTGTGTATACTGTATGTATATGTTACGGGTATAATAAGCCCGTGTGTCATCAGTTGAATTCAAGGGAGACACCGTGATAGCAGGATATTTAGCAAGTATACAATAAAGCTACATTCACTTATGTTTTGTCTTTCAGGATAATTGAAATAGAGCCACCAGTCAACAGAGCAGGTGGAGGGGATGTGATAGTCCAGGTTTGTGTCACATGGGAACTTATTCTGAAATTTATGGCACAGTCATCCACATGTTGATTATTTCGATTCACTTAGCCTTTATGGAATGCTTCAGCCAAGCTTCAGCACTTTAAGGCTTTTGGTTGTTGGCGAGCGAACTGAGCCTTCCTAGTCGTCTGAATGCCGAACTGTTACATATGTAAAGGTGCATCGACCAACATACCGTAATGTTTTTATGTGATTCCATAATTATACCCGCGAAATATTGAACTGCTCACTTTACTCTCGTTACATTCTTACTATGGAAAAGAGTTTTGTTCCTGCTGAACAGAGTTGAATGAAAGGAATGATATTACTTTTAACTGTACCTTGTACATATATTACTGCACTAGTTCCTTAGTACAACATTTTGCTTGCATATGTTATTGCACCTGTCCTGTTGTACGCACAGATTGTGGACAATCGTATAGTGGGACAGTTTGATGTGACTACTGCCACCGATGACTCAGGGGTGAAAGTAGTAACAGACAACAAACGAAGAAGTCCACACCGCAGTCCAAGGCCACACAGAGCAAAAGGTTCACCGAAACCAGTAAGATGCCGCAGTACAAGTGATTATGTATCTGTGTTATAAAACACGTGGACATTTGCTCTCTTGCGTGCGTGAGTTGTTTCAAATGTTCTGCTGTTCTGGTGTATGGCAGAGGTACTTATCAGTATATACTGCATGAGGGCGGTACAGATTAGCACCGAGGGTATAGACCCGTATGCCTTCCACCTATGGGTTAACCTATTTGTAGCCTAGAAAACTCGGAGTAGTCTCACAAAGCCAGTCCTGCCGGCTGCACAAGACAACTCCGACAGATCCCGCATCGCCGCTTCGAAACGGTATGATTTGCCTGGCATATGCGCGACAACTACAAGCATTTGCGCACGTGAGAATTAGCTAGAGCATTGAAGCAAAACCACAAGGAAGCAAAAAAAACCAGTGACAAAAACTAGCGGCTGTAGCTCCCAATGTTGCCGAACGCGCTGTTTTTCATGAAGCTCCTCTCTGCCCAAGTGGTATAGGCCACAGGAATGCAATTAACGCTGGTATAGACACGTGACAAATTGCAAACTGGCATATAACGCATAGCATAGCACATACAGTATGGGTCGTTAAGTGGGTAACGCAATTGTTGTTCAAAAAAATTGCTGGTTCAGTTGACAACAATTGTTTTTGTGCTCTTTGCCATTGCGTACAAGTGCTCTGTAATGTACCTTGTGACCTGATAGCAATTGTGGGACATTTGCACCATCATTTGCACAGCACTTGTATTGTACATGTTTGCACAGGGTGTAAGTGCAGTACATAGTACAAGCACATATCTATACAATTGCTGTCCATTGTGTCAACTGCATGTTTGTGTGACTTGTAGCACACTTGATAACATTTGCTTACCTGATCTTGACACTTGTATGGGAATTTTTGTGGTGTGTCAATTGCAACTCAATAGTATTACTTTGTTTTTGACCCGTACTGTAGGTACCTCACATGCACATTCAATCACATTATTATTGTTTGAACAACAGCAAATAGCCTCAGGCAGCAGTAGATAGCATACGGGAGTCGATACACGCCCTTCGCTGTGACTTATTGTGCCTTCAAGATACACAGAGCAACCTGCGCGAGGTAAGCCTCTTCTAATTAGCATATTGCCTTTTTCGCTCTTGAAAGAAAGGTGCCTGTTGCTGTTTACAAACATTTGGCCGTCATGGTAATATGCATGCGTACAAAGTTTCATCTCTATTCATACTACCGTTAGCAAATTTAGAAGTAATTTTAGTGCCTGAGGCTGTTTGCGAAAGCCAATATGCTAATTAGAACAAGTTTACCTCAGCGAAGGGCGTGTATCGACTCCCGCATGCTATCTACTACTGTAGCTAGCCCGTGCCAGACTCTCCGTGAGCTACACTAGCGTGGAGACCACGAGTAAACGCGTAATAATAGCCCAGCCCATCAATTAGCGGTACCACGCATGCGCAGTTCGCCGAGGGTTTGCACTTTAGTGCTTTTTCATTTTTTATTTACTTGTTAAATTGTATTTCATACGTAATTGGTCATCAGCACATCTTAAATATTATTTTCAGGATCATGGCATTTCAGAAGAAAATGTTGCTACCAGTACCACAAAACTCAGCTCCAACTCTCTGAGAATGGAAACACACCATCTTTCTTCCCTGCCACAGGTTTGTTACATCAATGTCTCTACAACATACATACAAAAACCAAACCCTTTAAAAACCTTCACTGCATTTTTACAGAATATTATACACCTGACCATGATTATAATAGTGAACACTTGCTGTCATAAAATATTTGACTGCAATGGTTTTCTGCCCTAAGATATTTTTATCTGAGAATTTGCCCTAAGTGGGGTGCATTACCTAGTGATATTATCGCACAAACGTTTTGTCCTGCTACTTGTGCAGCAAGATCTATGAAGTGTTCTGTTGACATCTTAATCAACATGTTGTTGTGTGCAGAAGAGGCGGCTTCCCAAAACTGGGGCACCCATATTTCACAATTTTTCCGTTAGCTGTTTGTTTGGTTCCAGAAAAAACACTGTGTAAGTCACGTAATGATTGCTCCTGCAAGCAAAAGAGACAGACAGTTTGTATACCTTTATACGAGTGAGCAGTGCAGAGCAGTAAGGGCATGGGCTTTTGTATGTTCGTACGCAGGATGATACTGCTTGCTCGGTGTGGAAATTGTCTCTATAAAGAGAGAAACTGCCTCATTGCCAGTGTAATTTTTGCACTGATCATCGTCAATTGGAGTAGGCAATGCACCGAAGAAATTACATAATGATGGCTGCAGTAGCTACACACAATGATATTGAAGAAGCTTAGTTACATGTACATACAGTATGTATACTTTATGGAACTAAGTCCTATGGCACATAATATACAAACGCTAAGCCTTTTGGTCATGCAGGAGCAAGCATAACTCCTCTTTTGTTGGTAGTATCTACACAAAACTGAGCCTAAATCCTTAAAGTAGAAACTAAACTTACACCCTGATATTGTGGTGCTGTGGAGGAATAAACCTGGTGCGTCTTGGCATAATATCTTTGTGTGGCTACACACATACATTGTATACATGTAGGTCGGACATACCTTTCACTAACTCTAGGCCAGGTTCTGAACACACTTGCATGCACAATAAGTTGTTATACGGACAAAATTAACACCCTCTGTAATCATTAACATTTTGGTGAACCTTTGTGGACCACTGTGTGCCTATTAAGTAGTGGTGTGCATGCAGTAGAGTTAACAGTACTCGGTTCATAAGTCAGTCTCTTTGTCTGTCTGTTGGTTCTGTGTCGTGGGTTCAATTCCCACCTGGGGCAACTCTTTTTGTTGTCCTGAGTGTCTTTGTGTTGTTTTGTCTTGAGACCTATTTTTGACGCATGTGCTTACCCGGACGCGCATGTGCAGGTGTCAGTAGCAAAAACGATCACATTATTGCACATATCACTGTTTTAGCCAGCACTCCTTAGCATCGTACAGATGGAGGTTCGATTCTTGCTTGGTAAGGGTTTCACTTTTGTGCTTTTCATTCAGGACTACACTTGGTGCTTTCAAACTAATAGCAATGGGGGAGTTGACTGCACGTCATGGCTCAGGCCAGCAGTTATTAGCAATTTTTTGGCGTGCACAAGGCATATCTAAACTAGGCCATTTGTGCCGAGGATTTGCACTTTAGTGCTTTTTATCTGTAATACTTCTTGGGTTTGTGGGGCTCTTGCAGAATGAACCAACAAGTTAATCTTAGCTCAAAAACTTCTGCTATATCAGGGTCCGCCAACTAAGAGTGTCTCAATGGATAACTTTCGCCATGTTGTTTACGCCACTTCTGGTGCAGCTGTTCAAGATGACTCACAAGAATTGAACAACAGTTCTCCGGGCTTGTCAGGGTTAAACACTTCCCCAAAAAGTGGTAGTATTTCACCATATCATGAGAAGGAAGGGCCATGTGGGGGCACTGAAGAAGAAGGAGGAGCAGAAACAGTGGAAGAGGGAGAGCATCCTGGAGGGACCAGGATTATTATCCCACAGCTTCGTAACACTGTTGATGTCAGCAGAGGACGACAGTAAGCATGTGTTAGGAACATGAGAGTAAGTAATAACTCCTTTTTATCATGCAGTAGAAGCAGTCTATCAGAAGCTGTTCTTGTTAATGAACTTTCAAAACCAAGTACAAGAGAAGAAGAGGGGGATGCCGTAGGAACCACTGGAAAAGCACCAGAATCACCGAAGGTCGTGGCACACAGCATGTACACTAATGTACAGTAGTTGCATGTCTTTTACAGTGGATAGACCCTGAGGAGAAAGAACGGCTTATACAGCGTTTCAATGTGGGACCAACTCGACGTAACAGCCGAAAACAAACGGATGAATCTAGTCAAGCTGTCACACTAGCTCGTAAATTATACATGCTTGATGGTTTCAAGAAAAGTGAAGTGGCAGCGAGGCTTTCTCAGCCGTAAGGATTGTCATCTTCATATCTGCTGTTAGCACCTGTTTTTCTCTATTCTTTAGAACAGAGTTTGGCCACGCTGTTGCAAGGGAGTACCTGAGTTTTTTTGATTTTGCTGGACTGGGGCTAAGTGATGCTCTTAGGCAGTTTCTTGCATACTTTTCATTGACAGGAGAGAGCCAAGAGCGTGAGAGGGTCATGCAACACTTTTCAGAGAGATACTACGAGTGTAACTCACAAGAATTTCCTTCAGTTGGTTAGCTGTGGGATATAATATTAATAAATGCCTGATAACAAACTTTGCCTAGATGCTGTTCATGGCTTAAGTATTGCTACACTTCTACTCAACACCGACTTGCATACTGACGTAAGTTCTATATATCACAGAGATGTATACAAGATAGATTGCATTACTGATATGGAGTAATGTTTTTAAGATTTTATTTGTACATTGTATCACTGAAACTACTTTTCTACAGCATGGGGGACGAAAGATGAGTTCAATTCAATTTTCTGATAATCTGGGACATATCGGTGTGGAACTTCCAAGGCAAATTCTCAAGGTATACTATCATTTGTATACAGAACAGGTTGGAAGTATGTCTCAACAACTAGGTAGCAAAGGCAAGGCAAAACAAACAAGTCAATTACATGGCATGTCACACTCAGACGTTGGCAGTTTTATATTGACCAAACAGATTGTGTAAAACGTGGAGACTAATTCCCGTATTTTCCAAGTGTGTGTTTCCACAGAGACGCCCTCGAAAAAAACTGGCGTCTTTGACGGGGGGTTGGCAAGCATCCGCCCAGAGAAAATCGCTCTTTCGTAGAAAACTCAAGCTCGCTGTATATGATGCTTCTTTGATGAAAGGCCTCTCTATGATGCAAAAAGAAAATGAAGACCTTTTTAGCTTCAGCGAGTCTCGTGGAAGACGACGAACACAGAAGACTTTACGGCCAGCACGGCCACCATCTAAGTCTTTTATACTGTGCGTCAATGGAAATACGCGATTTAGATGGCCCTTAGTAGCATCTTCACTGCGCTCAGACTGCTACAGCTCAGGGCCCCTCGGGCCGTCTAAATTGCATATTTCCATGGACGCACAGTATAAAAGACTTAGATGGTGACCGTGTTGGCCGTAAAGTCTTCTGTGTTCGTCGTCTTCCACGAGTGCCTATTACAACAAGTGAATTAAAAATCCTGTGAATTGAAAAAAGAGGCGTATAGGGATGGTATAAAAAGAAAGGGAGACAAGATAGGGATGGGATACACATGAAGCATGGTTAATGTACAGATTTGAGCACGCTGACACCCTGACCCCATCACACAATCCCTATATTATTGCCTGGTGTGCCACTCGTAAACTCCATTTGTACTCTTGGTTACTCAGTAGCATGACTTTTTTCAAGCTGTAAGTCCTGACTATTGTGTAATGTTTAATGTTTAATACTTTACCTAGGCAACAATATAGGGATTGTGTGATGGGGTCGGGGTGTCAGCGTGCTCAAATCTGTTCGTTAACCATGCTTCATGTGTCCCATCCCTATCTTGTCTCCCTTTCTTTTTATACCATTCCTATATGCCTCTTTTCTGCGAATTTTAATTTACTTGGCTATTTGTTGGTGTTTACAGTAACATTGTTGTTTACAAACAAATAAGTATGACCAGTCTCTTCGGGTGACGGATATATACATTCTTACAAATTTTCATGGTATTTTGTTGATGAGTTACGCGAGTTAAATCTGAAGAACTACCGTACTTGGGGATAACTACATGTGGTGTATTTCAATGTAACAACGCTCTTTTATTCAGTGACCCCACCTTTTAATTACCGTCTCTCCCACATGTAAAACTTCATCTGGGGAACTATAATTATTATATACACAACATACATACATGTATATGTACATATATAATTATAACGTTATTGGCTAGCGAAGCAAGCATACCTAGTCATTTCAATGGGGGAATTTTCATTATTTAACGGCTCTGTTGGTCACTACACATACCGTAATGTTCTACGTGATTCTAAATACACGCAAACACGTGTGATAATTATATTGAACTGCTGACGCTCGCTCGGCAACAGTGCATAGCATTCCAAGTATAGTGTTTATACTGTTGCTTTACACATGTTTACAGGAAATGTATGAGAGTATCAAGAAGAACCCACTGCAGTGGGCTGTGTAAGTATAAACAAGAAAAATGAGACTGTTGTACATTTATAAGTGGACTGGAAACGAACACACGGAATTTACAACTAACACAATGGATTGTCTAGTGCAATATTATACATTATATTACAGTCACAGCTATATTTTATACCTACAGTAAGTCACTTAATTGAACATGAACACGCACACGTAATGTTCGTTTCGTAGTTGTAAGCTCTACAGTCTATAAGATACACAGTTGATAATAACCTTATTTTTTCTTTGTATGCAGGGATGACCCAGTATCCCCAAGTAAGACTCTTCTGTGTTGTTAAATGTATGTTATTGCATAACTTACGCTTCCAGGTGCTTCAGGGAATGTAGTTGAAGACGAGGTGGAAGAGAGAGTGTACCATGTTACTATCCCTGGGACCTTTGTACAGGTTAATTATTTTTGCACATTCGAGCATACAGCTCTAGATATTCGCCAATAGTTGTGCTCTGAGGTGCTTCATTGAAAACACTTCCAGGAAAACGTACACTGCTGTGAAAGGTGCTGTGAAAGGTGTGCACCATGAGTGCTATAGGAAAGTGTTGAAGCATCTTAACCCTTAACAACCAGGACAGCTTATTGTTTCCATAGCCTAAGTCCATAATGTGTTATACAGGGATAGGTGTTAATACTTTATGCATGAGTTTCTACTTATATATTATAAGGAGATGGCGTCCAAAGTTTAAAGACTGTGACTGTGTCTAGTTGTTGCCTTGCTGGTAGAAAGAGCCAGGGTTAATAAACCCAGACCATTAACTCTCACGCTGTAGATCTACAGGTGCTCGTTAATCGAGTGAGGTTAATTGAGCATTATAAAGAAAGTGGTCGTGGTGTAATTCGAACCGGACCTTCCATTCCCAAAGCATCGTAGGCTAAGTGCTAAACTTACGGTCAATAATGTGTTACCTATTGTTGCGTGCATGTTGTTGCTCTAAGAAGAAGAAAACATAGCTTATTGGAGCATTTCAGAGTCCATTCGGGGCTGAGCTTAAAATATCGTAGAATAAGCCACCTTTTTATCCGCCATTAAAGCAATTATGTCAATTTTACCCCGACACCGTCATGGATTTGACACCTCTAGTTGATGATATTCAGCTTTGTAGGCTTTAGTGTGGGATATAGGCACGGTATACTGTAAGTTCCTGATGGAAGTTAAACTGCAGTATTAGTGCATGTAATATGCCATTGTTTATATATTCTCATCTGCAGCTTTAAAAAGTTTCTATAATATTGATTGTGGGTTACATAATCAACAGAATATCATAAATTCAGCTTGTAAAATTGTTGTAAATCCTCGCCACACATGCACGGCGAGAGTTATGCTACTTTTGTCCCTGTGCTACAATTCTGCCACTGCAGGCTATGTGGCAGCCTATAAGCAATACCAACACCTTCAGATCTACTAGTACAAAAAAACGTGATTTTTAATAATGTGTACGAGTTTATTAAGTGTGGATGTACTATTGTGAACTTTTCAGGCTGTACTACCGGGCAGTGCACCAGTGTTCAAAGAAGGTTTTGTCATGAAAAAGAACATCATGGAGGCACCCCACAAAAAAGGTGCATAATGCAACAACCTTTGATGAAGTTCTATCGTGTACAAAGTTTCATTTTTTGAGGACCCAGTATCACTAAGTACGGTAGTACTTAGTATAGGGATTGGCATGGTACCTAGCATCATGGATGTATGGGGCTATGATAGGGAGTTTTGTTCATCTTCTTCTTCTTCAACCAACGTAACTCAAAAACCAAAACAGATAAAGACATGAAATTTTATTTGAATGTACATTCGATAACCACATGTGCAACGTCATATATTTGTAAACAATGTTGCTTACTATAAACTACAACAAATAGCCCCAGGAAATACATTATACTAGGGACACGTGCTAATTAGTGTAACTCGCAAATGCTAAGTGCTATACAAATGAAAGTTTGTATATACAATGTATTCAGTGACCACTATCAAAAACACAACAATACATGTTTGTAAACAACTTCAAAGTTACTTCTTCACTCCTCTAACTTGCCAATGGTACCATGAATTGACATAACACCATTTCCATGATAACTACATGTTTACCTACATGTTTGTAAAGAACAACAAATAGCCTCAGGCAATTATCTTAAATTACGTCTTCACTCCTCAAACTTGTTGACGGTAGCACGCATGGAGATGAAACTTGGTACGCATGCGTAGTACATCGTTTCCATGATGACCACGTAGAATAATAAACAGCCTCAGGCATATTACTTCTTCTCCTCAAATTGCTGAGTGAAACTTGATACGCATGCATAATATGTTGTTTTCGTGACGACCACATATTGTAATAGCACTTTCTTTATAATTACCAAATTCGCTAACCGGAGATGAAACTTCATATGCATGCATATTAAATAGTTTCCTTGACGACCACGTATTGTTTAACAACATTATAGCCTCAGGCACATTACTTCTTCACTCCTCAAATTGCTAACGGTAGCACGCATGGAGATGAAACTTGGTACGCGTGCATATTACCATGACGAAAACATATTGTTTGAATAACAATTAATAGCCTCAGGCACTTTTCTCCAAAATTACTTCTTCACTCCTCAAACTTGTTAACAGTAGGGACACGTGCTAACGGTAGCACACATGGAGATCAAACTGTACGCATGTGTATTACATCATTTCCATGACGACCACATGTTTGTACAGACATTCTCTATTATAATTTTATAGGGGGCTTCGTCCCCTTTCACAGAGATAATACGTAGTAGTATATAAAAATGAGCTGAGACAAATAAGTTAAATATCCTGCTAAATTCAAAAATAGACATAATTATAAAGATGGTATAAAAAGAAAGGGAGACAAGATAGGGATGGGATACATGAAGCATGTTCAGAACAGGTTTGAGCATGCTGACACATCACACAATCCCTATATTGTTGCCTGGTGTGCCACTCGTAAACTCTATTTGGACTCTCTCAGTAGCATGACTTTTGTATTTTCAAGCTGTAATTGTTGAATGTTTAATACTTAACCTAGGCAAGAATATAGGGATTGTGTGATTTTTATTTTTTTTTAGCGAACAAGTAATATGCTCTACACAACCCATGATAGTTTCCAATATCTGTGCAAAGTTTGATCTCTGTATTTACCCGATATGTGAGATACGTTTTTCGAAACCGAACAAACACAAGGAGTTTCATAACTATAATACCTACTCTTTTAATAGTTTCCAGAGGGAAGAGACATTGGAAAGCATACTACGCATATCTAAAAGGATTTCTCCTTTATTTTGCACCAGTAAGGCTGTAAATTATACAATTCTGTGCTTAAATAATCTATTCTATTCTAATAGCCGCAGGGGCAGGGTGAGCTGCACTTGGATGACACTAGCTCAGCCATAACTGTGACGCACTGCCTAGCAATGAGAGCTCACGATTACCACAAGAAGAGTTCTGTCGTCAGAGTCACCACTGCTGATTGGCATGTGTTCCTACTGCAAGCAACGTAAGTGACTAAATGGTCCTGGTTGATACTGCGTCATTATTACCACTTCACTTGACTCTGTAAGTAAGATCCACCGACCCAGCTCTACAGCATTTCAAGTGTTACCTACCTGTTTTTGAGCAGAAAATTGCATGAGGCCATGCAAAAAGGGGCTGAATTCTAGGAACAAACACCAATGTCTTATTAGGACAGTTAAGTATGGCCATAATAAACCGTGAGTTGTAGTCGTATATTTTTGGCGAATTTAAGGCTCTTTACAATCTTTAGCATGTTCATATTGCTCTTCCATACATACATTCTCGATGGAAAGGAAATCCAGTGCGCGACTAATTCACCGGGAGCAAAATGTGTTAAACGTATGCTAGTGTGCTTCAAATTGTGCATGTGGAGCTGTTGCCTAGCCACCAACCAACACTACTGTTGGGCTACAAGAAGAGTGTGGCTTCACCCATGCAGCTCATGCACCCCATTTAATAGTACTTACAGTACCTGCCTCCCTGCCCTTCTCAGCGTCACAGATTCCATGGGTGTATATGGAGTACCTGTGCACAAACTATTGGAACAATACACGTTTTTATGCCCAACTTTTGCAGTGATGTCACTGATATGCAGCAGTGGATAGGAGCTATAAACAGTGCAGCAGCACTCTATTCCTCTCCTCCACTTGCTGCTCCAATAGGATCACAGTGAGCTACATGCTAAAATCGCATAAGTGTATATCATTTTCTTTTTCTACATCTAGGGCTGGTTTTCACAGACCAACATTCCCATTGGCCCCTACTAGAAACAGCCAGGTTTGCTAAGCATTCGTACTTAGTGTGTGTTTAGCATCACTGTAGATGCTTCAAAGTTGCTGTTCTATCAATTACTTGCATTTTTAACCTTCGCCCGTGCACATGTGCAGCGAGGGTTATTGTACTCAGTCTGTCTGTGTGTGAGTGAGTGTGTCCGACTGTTTTTCTCAGTCGCAGTGGTAAGGAGTGTGTGTCAATTGGAGATTGTGATCCAACGAACTTCGCGGTCTGGCCGGTTCGTGTGCCACGATCATACGAGAAGTAGCGGATGAAGTGTAGGTGACATGGCTGCTTCTGGCATGTATAGGGTGATATTTACTACCACGCTTGCTACAATTACTGGCTTGTATTTACATAGCCTCACCAGGTTGGTCATCTGTCTGAACTGCCTCACCAATAATTTTCTTCATTACGTTATTTTGGCTAGCAGATGCTTATCATAAGCATCTTAAATTATAGTGGCGAGGGTTATGCACTTTTAAGTGCTTGTGGTGCTAGTTGTATGCTATTCACAGTGGATTCCGAGCTTCCTGGCATGGTGGGAATGCTGAGTGGCTGGGTAGCAAAATACATACCTGCAGCCAACACTAGCCAGTACCTTTTGGGTAGTCTGGCCAGCCAGAACCAACATGGGTGGCTTCAAGGATGCACGATTATGTAATCTACAAGGGTGCACAAATGGGTGCTCTAGAGGCATCCTGGAGTAAATGGCATTTTAAAACATTCAATTACTTCCCACCCACTTAAACGTATATGCCCACCACGGAGAATGTAGGTACGGGACAAAATCTCTACGAAGCGCTTTCTTGAGGGTTTGGAGAGATTAGCTTGTGGGAGGGGGGGACTCTGGTATAACCATGGTGCATGTAATGTTATGAGCTGACACTTAGCCAGGAATGCTATAGAAAGGTGGTGGTTTACAAAGGGAGAGTAGATATTCAAGAGTGGCACTAATATTTGCAGTCACACTTCTTATTTTTCAGGAGCAACAAATAGAGTCTCATGAAGTGAAGGTTTGTATACAAAAGTTTAACTGTTCACATAAGTGAATCCTAAATCATAACTTTAGGTAAAGTCTCTGGATAAAGAAGCTAAAGGAACACCAGGCTAAAAAACCGACAGGAAAGAATGCAAAACATGGATTTTTAGAGGTATGTCTGTCTCTCTGTGAGTTGGTATTATAGTAATTTGGAACTGATATGTGAGTGGGTGTACCAATATAATTGTTGTATGTATGTTTTTCAGTGACTTCAATGGCTAAAACCAGTTTTTCAATTTACTATTCTGGCTCATACCATACTAATGGGGGAAAAATTGGGTGGGTGTAACAGTTGTGTACTCTAGTCCCTACAACATTTGGACTGTAAGGACTTCCTGGAATGTGCATGCCTGCATTTTAGGTTATCTATATGTAACGTTGTGTCCTTGGGCAGCATGCACAAGAGGCCAATAGTATTAGCAAATCTTTATTCACAAGATCAGTCAATGACCTCTAGCTAGTGTAAAATCAGCATCCCTTACATACTCACACATGACAATGAATTATGGATGACTTATACCTGAATTATGCAATCGTTGGTAAACAATCTATCATAACTATGCAACATGGGCATGGGTCTATTGGCAGTCAACAAGGGGGCAGAACCTAATAGCAGTTGTTTAGCATTTGGACCTGTTGTTCAGTGACTGGGCGTCGGGTCTGGGTAGCAAGATGCTAACTAAGGGACATTTCTGAGAAAGAGCCACCTGTGGCAATTATGTAATTATCATGCAAAAGTTCTCTACTTAAAATAGTTGCATTCACTTCTTTCAAAGACGACCTCTGAAAGATTATAACTTGGCCAACTACATACGTAATAATTATAACTAGCATCAGGATTGGGGTGCTGTTGAGCTCAATTAAACACTTAAGTTCTATTGTTTACTGAGGGAATTTTTACTGCAGGAGTGGTTTGATCAGTACGAGTTTCTTCAATTTGAGGTAACGACATGTCTATAGAGCTAGCTGTCTTACAACCTCTTCCTTTTGCAGGTGAATCGATTCCGCATATATCTAGCATCACTGTGCTCAGACACAGTGGTAGATTTCAATGCTCCACTTCCAAGTGGACTGATTCCTTCACCAAGCATTAGCACATTACACAATCCTGACCAAGCAAGTGGAGAGTCTGATTTCCTTGAAGAATTCCACCGCCATGGTCACACATCACACATTGTAGGAACACCACCTGTACATAGGGATGGTGCTGATTTCCGGGAGTTACAAAGACATTCACCAGTTTTATCTCGTAAACCACAATTCAAACAACTATGACACATTTTTAGCACTGAAAATGAGCAATTCTATAATTATGCATAATGTTTGTTTTTACTGTGTGTCTGATAATATTTGTATACACGTAATATAATCAAAATACACTATTTAACATTCGTCGTAAAACACGTTTGTCCTCTGCTATTATTTTTCATGTGTTACTGCCAGAGGACTGGGTGCTCTCTCCACCTGGGTACCAAATATTATGCACCTGCATAGCTACTTCCAGTAATGTGGTAATAAACTCACTGGTGGTTGAGTGTCAGAAGTGGCCCATGGATCAACAGGGTCATTACAATGAGCCTTTTGGTGTGTCATAGTGTCAGCAACAAGTGTGAGCACTGCTTTATCAATGTTTTCTCCACTACGGGCATTCACTGCCATGAACTTCATTTTCATAGCCTTTGCCTTTGCCTACAGGGTGCGAAGTGGGGTATAACGGACAGTCACAATGTATGAAATACCTCAGCCTGTGTGATCAATATCGAATAGTCCTGTTCCTTAATCGTGTGTCCAGCCATCATCCACACAGAGTGCTTGCGGTGTGGTCCTACATTGTAACGCTCCATCTCATGCTTCCAGTTCCCAACACTATGCAGGGATTCCTTCAGAAAAATGGAAATAAAGTTCTAAAGTGCAAACCCTGGCACCCTCACTCGTGCAATAGTGGCTACCCAGCCATGTACACAATGCTTGTGAGATGAGTCACCCTCGCCTCCATACCGGCTATTGTTGGCTGTGGTGATTAGATCGCTGAATGTAACGTAAGAATAGAGAACAAACTCTGCATACCCTTTATCTACAAGAAAGTCCAAACTGATTTGCTTGTAATTATAGCATAACCAAAAATATTCGGTATTGATACGTACAACGGTTTGGATAGAGGCTCTCACTAAGTACGGTAGTACTTAGTATTATCCTGCATTATACCCATACATTAGAGATTTGTAGGTTTCACTATCAGATCACACTTTTGATATTATCAGTCTGATCCGTATAGTCAAAAAAGAATGTACCTAAGAAATGGCTTAAAATCACATAAGTGGTTTATTCAAGAAAGTTGGTGTTCAAAATTGTTCTTATTCAATTTCAACAAGCGTATCTCAAAACTCAGGTAAGATTGTTTGTAAACTATGTTGTTTACATGAAAACAACAAAAAATAGCCCCACACCCATACATTTTTATATGGGCCAATAAAGTGTGCTAACTAAACAACCATAATGATAAAACGTTGTACACATACATATGCATTAGTATCAACAACAATAAACAGCCTCAGGCATTAAAAACTAGTGTATGTGATGCAGTAGTAGAATGGATGATGGTTACATCTTCAAACTGACATTGCTTGCTCGTGTAAATTACCTCCACACAAGCCCTATATTGTAGCCACTTTTACTCACAACATTAGTGTGAGGACAATGGTAAAGGATTCTCTCTGGAGGCCCAAGAACGCAGCATTGTAAAACTCATGTGAGTTAAGTGAACATGGAAGGTATCAGACTGCACACAATGCAGTCACAACCAAAACTGAGGAGCTGTCAGAGAGGGCAACACCAGTGCATTAAGAAATGATTCATTCTATCTCTTTACGACAATACAGGGCTTGTGTGGAGGAAAATTACACAAGCAAGCAATGTCATTTTGAAGATGGAACCACCATCCATTCTACTACTGCATCACATACACTAGCTATGGCGGGTGATTAGTGCCAAAACGTAACTCACTCTTGGATTGCTTGACACTCATGTGTTTTTCATTCTGCATTCTGATCTGAACGTCTTTGAACCTTGTTTGACACTGTGATGCATTTGACTCTCAAACTATACACCATTTGATTCTCAACGTTCACATTTATATGCATACTCAGACATGCATGCGCACTTCACTAAGGCACTCGTGAAAACTCTATGTAATTCACACACTTGAATTTTATGGTGGTCAGATTTTATCGTTACCTCCACTTTTTTGCACAACATGCATGTCTGAATGTAGTGAAAGTGTTGAGTGTGAGATAAGATGTGAGAGTTCATGTACGTGAGCGTCAAACGTTGAGAAATGGAGTATCAAATGGTGTACAGTTGAGAGTCAAATGTATCACAGTGTCAAACGAGGTCTAGTTTAGAATCAAATGTATGCAAGTTCAAAAGACGTTCAGATCAGAATGAAAACACACGAGTGTCAATATGTATGTACCTTTGGCATTAATCACTCGCCATACATCCCTGTCTTGTCTCCTTGCTTTTTATACCATCCCTACATTCACCTTTTTTAATTCAAAGAATTTTTAATTTACTTGTATAAGGATCAGTGAAATATGAGGAGAGCCTACTCATGGTCCGCGACAATAGAGGGCTTGCGTGGAGGAAAATTTACACGAGCAAGCAATGTCAGTTTGAAGATGTAACCATCATCCATTCTACTACTGCACCACATACACTAGGTCATCCCTGTCTTGTCTCCTTGCCATCCCTATAATCACAATATTTAATTCGAATTTTTAACTTAGATCGACAATGTCAGTTTATACATAGCTCTAAAGTGGCAGGATGGTTTGGAACAATACTGGACTGGATAATTGCCCTAGCAGTCATTAGCATAACTAACCTTGGTAGACATGCATGCTGCCTGTTACAAAATACTCCTGCACGACAGCCAAAAAGTGTTCCCCAATACATTGTGATAGGCATTCTGAAACCATAAGAGTTGAAACACAGCCAATGAGCAATGCTTTGCAATTTTGACCCAGTTTTGCCTGTAATTAATCCTCGGCGCGCATGCAGAGCAAGGGTTACTGCACTTGGTCCGTTTGTGTATCTGTCTGTCTGTTCCAGCAGGTTGCAGGAAACTTGCCCGCCTGTTTTGAAACTGCACATGCGTAGTATCAGTGGTTGGAGCCGCCGGCCTGCTCGATCGCCTGACTTGACTCTTACAGTTTTGGCTGTGTATAATACCTAGAAGTAGATGCTAGGCCCTGGCTGTACATAAATAGATACGAATGATAGCTAGAAAACTCATAGTGCGCATTAATGATTTCTATTTTGCAAGAACAGCAGCACTACACATACAAAGTCAAAGTGTTTGATGCAGCGAAGCGAAGAAAGTTTTCAGTGTTTGTTTCATCTCTGCGGTCAGCATTATGGCACGGAGCTTGGTGATATTATCCCAGATGAGGGAGATTTTAATGTGGGGTATTTCGAGGGAAGGCAGCATACAAAGAAATGGCTCATGACACGGCAAGATATTTATGTCATGTACACTCATTTTCTGGTGAAAACATGTGTCAGTGTATGGTGTGATGGCATAGAAATGGACGTAAGTGATGAAGAAACACCTGTGAATACATCAGTACACGTGAGAAAAAGAGGGCAGCAAGAAGAGGAACTTGAGCAAGTTTTTCTGCAAATAAAGGAAAAGCATGGATCCATATATTCTGGACCACAACTGCGTCTTTGGGCACGAATGATTAACGAAGACTCATGATAGCCTTGACCAAATGTGCCCATGACAACAGGATAAACATGCACTCGTCCTCGCACACAGAGTTTCAGTGATGCTTTAAGTAGTGGTGCAACAGCATTTGCAAAAGCATTGTCCCCTCCGCCACCTACCTCATCTACACCACCTGCTTCTCTCTACTCACCAAGCGAGATGGTTGATGTATGCATGCGAAATCTAGAACAGCTCTGTGCTCTAAAGCAGCTGTTTAAAGATGTTGTTCTCACAGAAAATGAGTTTTTGGCTCAAAAAGACATTGTTCTGCAATCACTTACCAAGATTGTGTAAAACACATTGTTCGTAGTCTTGACGAGTAATTGTTGAAAAAGCTGCTAATAATGTTCTTCAGGATCTAGTACTTCTGCCTCCCGATCCATTTTCCGCAATGCTCCTTTTACTTAGGAAAAGGCTTCTTCAGTTGGATAAGGGGGTAAGAAGAGAAGTAGTGCTCCAACTTGTTCTATCATTTCTTTAATCCCCAGGATATGGTGGATGGAGCAGTTGTCCATGACGACAACACTGTGAGGTTTGATCCATCAAAAGGCATCAAATGAGGTAGAAGAGACGATTGCACAATTTGTAGAAGGTCTCGCCATCAACTGTGTGTTTGTAGGTATTGCAATCTAGTATTCCACAAACTGAGAGAAATGCAATGGAACTGGTTCTATTTCCTCAGCTAAGGAATTTGTGTGATACTAGTGGCCTTCCACGTACACTGTAGCCATCACGCTGAATGCTGTTTCGTCTATCACTTCCTGTCTCATCTAAAAGGATCATACATTCAGACCTCTGCAATAAAGTTTACAGAAGTCAGATCGTCTCGCTGCGAGGCTGCAATCCTAAGCCTTTGCTTGGTAAAACCAGCATCATGTAGAAACCTGCAAATTGTAGATCCACTAATATCTTTTTCGTGATGTTGAAGAATCTGATGCTGCACTTCATGTATGTAAATACCCGGACACTGCAAAACAAAACTTATGATGCTGAATTGGATAGGAGAACTGAGTTTTCTCAATGGGTGCGAGCGATATTTTTTCTTTGTAACATTGCCCGTTCGCCTAAACTCTCGAATTATCCGGTGCACAGTTGTTGGATCTAGACCCAAACAGATCGCTACTTCTGAGCTAGTCAAACTGAAGGCCTCCTTCTGCCAAACCATTCGCCATCTCAAATCGTCACTGTACGGGCTGGACTAGTCTCGAGAAGCAGAACGACATTTTCGAATATATAGCTGCGCATGCGCTCATTATGTATTATTCATGCTGCTACAGGGTTATATATGGTAGAATGGTGCGCATGCACAGCTTCAATTTCGTTTGTGGGGGGAAATTCCGCGCAACCCGCTCTACCACGCTTTCCGTCACCACGTGCAAGGAGTGATACTAATAGGTTCAGCGCTACACCGGCTTGATATTAAATTTGGCGATTTTCGAAAAAGTACTGCGTTCGAGAGTTATGGCGTGAAAACCAAGTGAAAAAACATTAGCTATGCAAATTAATACAGGCTTACCTCGATCGCATCCACTCGCTCTTGACGGCACAAGAAGTTGCAACGAAGGGCGTATATCGACTCCCGCATGCTATCTACTACTGTCCCTAGCCCATGTCAGGCACTCCACGAGCTACTAGCGGGAACGCAGAAACGTGTACGACTAGCCCAGAGCCAATAAATTGGAGGTACCACGCATACGCAGTTCGCCGAGGGTTCGCACCTTAGTGCTTTTCAATAGTGGACATGTTTAAAGTTCAGCTATGCCTTAAATGCAACCTACTTGAGAGCACTAACAGCGTCATTGACAAGTTAGACTAGTGTGGCCAGGCCCATCAATTATCTCAGCTTTCTGCACAAACAAAGTTTTGCTCATTAATTCTCAGTGCAACTCAAGTGCACTGAGGGATTGATTTTTAACTCGTGTTTCACACCCTAACTAAGTTGTTTCAGGAGTTTGGCCCTGTACTAGCCTTGACAGACACACAGATATCAAGCACTGTGACCCAACCATTGCTGCACAGCTTTTTTGACATTAAGGCTCAAGCATTGGCAATTTTCTCCGGAGCTATAGTAAGGTTTGTTTACAGTACTAACATAAATAACATAGTGTAAATGTTAACATGGCACCTTGTTTGCCAGATCGAAAAGATAAATATAGCAATCAGCAATCATTGCGTCAGGATAAATAGCTTCTGTTGCTACATCTGTAAGTCGGAACAGCTCATCATTTAGCTCCATCTGCAAGCCAGAACATACAATGTTCAAAACAGTTAAACCTTGTATATTTGAAATACAGGGGTCCATCAATAATTTCACTACTAAACAGGGTGAGTGGGAGCGATCACACAACTGTATGTATCTGCATGCACAACATGCCCTCAGGTGAATAGCCATCCTAGCCTATATTTACAACCGGCACCTTGGAACCGTGAAGTTTGGTATAGCTCCGGTCAGGCATCAAAGAGTGCAGCAAATGCTGCCAAATGGATGAGTGTCTCGCTGGCTACATGGAGAGGCTAGGCAGCGAGAATTGAAATCAATTTGCATGCAAAACGCATAGGCTTACCCTTTCAACGCGGTGTATAGTACGTGTGAGAATGTGCGGAATATTAGCCTTAGCTCACTTCAGCCCACCAATATCAACAGCAAGATGTATTTGCCTCAGGGTTTTAACACTGTCTGTATTAACGAGGTTCCACTGTCGTTACATGCCTATAACTTACTATTTCCAAGTTAATAGTTATTCCATCAACTACAACTTGGTGTAACTTCTTTTGAAACTGCAGGAAAAAATCTCATTATATCTCATCCTTATGAGATAAAACATAGGGTCATATAATTATATATTATATATATATATAATTATATCACTCACTCTGTGCTCTCTCTTCCATTGTGAAGGAGGATGATCAGTTGTATACTTCCCCTCCTAAAAAGATCTTTTCAACTCTCGCATGCACGACCAGCAAGGGATACAGTATAGTACTTCACTAGTATTGGCTAAACACAGGGTACAGTGTCACGGTGGGTATTACAGCATCGGTAGACACTCAATATAGGGATGACACAGGTGAAATCTGTGATCCTCGTGCAAAATGCCACAAAACTACGCCAGAATGACTTGCTATGCCTTAAAAACACACTAGCAATAGTATCATATTCTTCATCTTCTTCTTCTTTAAACTTGCTATCTCCTTACCAGAACCAGTCGAAGCGCTGATTTTTTCGCTGAACGTCTCCAAATTCGCCGGAGGTGTGCACGGACATCAAGCGATCGTGAGGCTCTTACGATGGCTCGTACCCACTGACAACGCCACTCTGCTGCTGAACTCAGTCATCAGTTGAGCCCACCTGCGCCAGTGTTTTGAGTCAAATCTGACATTGTAAAAGTTTCGGCATAATGAATAGTTGCTTGCATTAGGCAAATATTTGCTTGTTTGGCACTGATGGACTCAAGTTTTACCCCACCCAGCCTCGTTGCCCTCAGTCTGATTTTTGTGTGACAGGTAAAATGCATGTACATCTGTACACCCATCCCCATAAATTTGGGATACCGGATATCTTGAATATATGTCCGTTTTCATATTCTCCCCGTGGTACATGTCATATCTTTAGCTGCCTATCAGTGCGTTAACCATGGTTGCAAAACAGTGTTTCTGGGGGCTGTATAAACCCATAGATGCATCGGCAGAGATATAAATAGTATGACTGTAAGGCCGCCACCAGAGAGGGGTTCCGTGTGAGGTTTTCACAACAAAGTTGTGTAAGATTGATCTACACAGCCCTTTGTTACATGAGAGATAGTAAGGCCCATACCTGTACGTGCATGTTTTTACCTGAACAACAGGCTTGGTAAACGTTCTCTGAGGAATTTGAGCATATAACATTGTATGAAGATTGTAAGGAATATCTCGCACATGCGTGAACAGATCGTTCTAGGCCCTTTCCCAAAAAAAGGAAGCTAGAAGAATGTCCACAATTTATTTGCAGGTTCTGTGCCAACTCCCTCCCCACACTCACACACACACAAAACAACCCAAATATCCTGCATTTACGTTTAATCCTCCACCCAGAGAAGGTTGGACAAGATCACGTGAATCCATGTGATCACCAACAATTCCCAAAAAATTGTCAGGAATGCAGGCGTCAAAGTTGTCTAGCGTTTAAGTTAAATCTCGCAGAGGTGTAAAGGGATCGAAAAATGTACTGTATAGTTGCCTGAGATACCACGCATATGGTATGAGTGCAGCAATGGATCTAGTACTCTTTTCTGTTACTCACTAGTAACATATAGTAGGGTTGTGGTGGGGTTTCGCCACTTTTCAGGGGATAGACTTCTAAAGCATCATCTAGTCAACTATTAAAAACTTGTCCGATCTTGCCTTGGCTTCAATTCAGCGACACTTTTGCATCTGGCATACATCCTCTTCTGAATGCTGCCTCAGCAAAATTATGTTACACAATCATGACAGATACGTGTCCAACCTCCTCTTAACTCTATATACGCTTGATGTCGGTTGTGGATAAGGCTATTATATGGAGGTACAGAGGAAAGTAGAGACAAGCATTTGAGAGAAAAACTTACCACAAACCTAGTGATGAAACATGACTTCCCAACTCCTCCATCCCCAATAACCATAAGTTTCAGTACAATACTGTGGGCATATCAAACATATTTGTGGCACCCCCTCCAAAAGGCTCTGTTTCCTTACTCGCTATTCAAACACTCACCTCTCCACTTCAAAAGCCTCAACAGCCATTGCATAATGTCACTGCCGCTTCCGATGAGATCTGCTACGTCTAAAAACAGCGGAAAACAACCGACGATGCCACAGTCCGCGAACCGTATAGTAACCTGAAAAAAAAGGGACGAATGATGGGCGGAGTGGCCACACGTTGCGACCGCGGACAAGGCGCGTAGGGCGGGCGCTTATCTACTACATCTTCGTTTTATGTCGACTGTTAACTACGTAGGTCATCCCTGTCGTGTCTCCTTGAAGTGAAAACTAGAAATGTCCAACCTATTCACATAATTATGAAGATATTAGACAATGCACCCCAAGAGAAAAAAAGAGGTGAAGCTCTGGACAGCTGTTTCAGGCTTGTTGGCCCTCACCAGCAGAGCATACCATAACTTTTCTCTCTCTGGGCATAATAGGCATCCAAGTTTCATCTCTATGCGTGCTATCTTGGAAAGTTTGAGAAGTAAAAGTGCCTGAGGCTATTTGTTGTTATTTACAAATATGTGTTGTTGTGATTTTGATGTTGGCTATTGAATACATTATGTATACAAACTTTAGTTCACATGGCTCTTACCAATTGTGAGTTACACTGCCACATCTAGTATTCCCATTAAAATGTATTGTCCATCATAATGTATTGCCTGGGGCACTTTTGTTGTTGTTTACAAACAAAAAAGTACGTTGCATATCGTTATCGATATGTACATTCCTACAAAATTTCATGGCTTTATCTTTTTCGTTTTTTAGTTATGCTGGTTGAACAAGAAAAAGAAGATGATGATGAACAAAACTCCCTATCATAGCCCCATACATCTATGATGCTAGGTATATACCATGCCCATCCCTATATACTAAGTACTACCATACTTAGTGATAAGCACATAACAGCCTTAGCTCACCACGTTTTTGAACACTCGTATCAGATGTCTACCGAGATCAGTCGTGTACAGCAACAATACTCTGGAGCAAAATATTGACAAAGAAGCCATTGTAGAAAATTACTTGTCTGCACTCTTACTGGATCCCAGGTCTCATCCCTCACTTGTTGTTACTGGGGGATTGCATCAAGCTGAGATGGCATATGGAATAAAGCACTAGTATGGGGTTCAGGGTATACCTGTTTTATGCAGGTCCTCCATGGAGCTCTGCCACATTTTAAGACAAAGCATGCCATGTGACCATATTTGAGCATGCTGACACCCGATCCCATCACACTATACCTACATAATTTGTTGCCTGGTTTGCCACTATTAATTGACTCTTAGTGGTGGTAGAATGACACTACAGCACTGTTAACTGCCTTTTAGCTTTAACTTCTGCTGAAAGAAAACATTCATGGTGATTCATTATACACTTTACTTAGGATTGTGTGATAGGTTTAGAGTTGTTAGTGTTTTTCATGTATCCCCTTGTCCTTTATATAATTTTAAAAATCGCAGCATTTTCAGCTTGTCTCCTCTCATTTATCTCTTCGAGAAGGTGTAAACTCCCTGGACTTAACTGACATGGAGGTGAGCTAAGTTCCATCTCCATGCAGACTTACTATTGCAAAGTTGAGAAGTGAAGAAGTAATTTGCCTTGGCATAAAAATGTAATGATGCACATGTATACTAAGTTTCATCTCCATGCATGTGATTTTGATGTTGGCTATTGAATACATTATGTATACAAACTTTAGTAGCATATTAAAAAGAGGTGAAAAGTGCCTGAGGCTATTTGCTGTTGTTTACAAACATGCAAGTGTCACGGATAAGTTGCACTTACATTTATGTGCATATGAACAGTGGTGGATCAAGGATTTTGAAAGGAGGGGGTTCCACTGTCCAAGAACGTTTTGACTGCGCTCGTGCGCGCACACAAGGCTGGCGACGCCATGCGCACAAAACAATTAAAAAGGTTCCGCATGGAATTTCAAACCAGTTATAATTATTTCATTTTAATTATATGCCTGAGGCTATTTGTTGTTGTTTACAAACAATTATTATTGTGTTCTAATGCTGGTGATTTAATACATTACATATTATACAGACAGCAGATACACCACTTATGTTGTGCATGAGCAAATTATGTAGCCCTAATTAATGTGCAACTCGAGCTCTGAATCGTTATACTGCGGCACAAGGAGTTGCATTAGCCTCCTGTGCCAGCTCCTTATAATGCACAGTTTTCTGGTCTTTCTACTGTCAAGACTGCATGGTTCATTTTAACTAGTGGCGGAAATACAGGGCATGGATGAGCAAGTTACCTCTGTGTGTGTACATATGTAGCCCTTCCCATTACTGCATTAATCCCTGCCATGTCTCCTTGCTATTCATCATGTTCAAATTTCATTTGTTGTCCTTCTTCTACACATTAAGCTCCAAGCATGGCGTACAAAAAAAACAAAGTTAAAAAGGTGTGATTACACGGGTCTGAACAGGGATTGTGTAATAATACACGTCTATGCCATTCCAGCTCGATTTGACTCAAAAAGGCCCAAAATATTGCTGTAGACTGCATGCTCCCAAGACACCACATTATCAAATACTTATTCCATACACAGCTAGCTATTCCAAACCTGTGAACATGCATGTGTGCTTGTTGCATGCACAGAGAATCCTAATTAATGTTTAATACCTCACCTAGGCAAGAAGAATAAGGATTGTATAATAAGGTCTGGTCTGTCTACGTGCTCAAATCTGTTTGTTAACCATGCTTCGTGTATCCCATCCTTATAATATATCTTGTCTCCCTTTCCATTTCTATATGCCTGTTTTACTTACTTGTCTCCACCAATTTTCTTATCTCTGTGAAAGGGGGCAAGCCCCCTAATAATAGAGAAAAATGCCTGGCGTGTTTTCCAAATAGGCAAATAAGTGGTTGTCATGGAAATGATGTAATATGCTTGTGTACCAAGTTTCAGCCCCATGCAGCGTGCTACTGTTAGCAAGTTTGAGGATTAAAAAGAAGTGATATTCAAGAAATGCCTAATTATGTGGTGATCATCATGTAATACACATGCATAACAAGTTTTATCTTGGTTTAGAGGTTAGATGGTGCCAAAGCGCAGCTGACTGGGCTGGAGAAAAGATGACATCACACTTGGCATTATGGCATGAGATGTGGTCCCCGTTGCCCCTGTTGCCCCCAATCGACTATTAGTCCATCCAAGTAAAACTTGTTTCAATGGCAATAAAGATTATGCAGATGATTAACTTAAAGCCCCATAGAGATTTGTAACAAGCTAAACAAAATAGCTAGATTTGCTGCAAAAATGCTGAGACCCTATAAAAGAAATGGAAATGGAAATTAACTAGCAAACCGGAAATGAGAAAATGAGAAGCACCAAGAAGTGAGATATGGCAAACAAACGGCCATGCTACGTATGTGAAAACAACGTTGTTCTTGCTGAAAAAGCATGAGAGAAATACTGTTGAGATTGTGTGAGACATTCATGACACCATAATTTTCTTCACCCAAATGAGTGCAAGAGAAAACGAACATACTACAACAAAGAGACTTCTATTACTTAACAATGTTAAAAGTACTTGAATTTTGTTGTACACCTCTACTGCAGTGCTGTCCCTTGGAAATAGATGATGACTGTAATGGTAAAGATTATAACTTAGTTAACATCCCTTGTATAACCTCTAAGGACCAGGATAGTAGGGGAGAGCAAAAAACCTTTGTGTAATACTAAATCAGGAAACACATGTAAAATGTATACAGGCAACATTCCTGAGGGGCTATCACTACAACAATGTGAAGTAGTGATGGATGTGGGTTAATCAAAATTTGGTTATCGCTGCCTAATACTTGTTCTTGACCATTTGCACCTAATAAACTGCGTAAATTGTTACATCTCATTAATCTTTTAAGAAGAACAATGACAAAAATCTCTGTAAACTCTGGGCTGTAGCCAGCAACACAAAATAACTGGCATTCACATAGAACTGCTTGTTAACCCTCGGCACGCTTGCGCTGCGAGGGTTACTGTACTTGGTCGGTAAGTTTGTCTGTCTGTCCGTCTGTTACCACATTTTCTGCAACCACGCGCAACGAGACAACGAAAGAGCGATACCAACAGGTTCATCGCTGCACTGGGTTCATTTTTTTAAAATACGATTTTCGTATAACTACAGCGTTCAAAAGTTATGGCGTGAAAAGCAAGTTAACAAGCCAATGTGCTAATTAGTATTCGCTTACTTTCGCTTACTTCTAGGAAGTGAGAAATAAACGCATGCGTGTGTTACACTGGCGGGTTGTGCACAATGATCACGTGTTTTTCGCCGTAAATGGCACCGTTGAGCGGTCATGGTTTGAGGGCAGTGCTCGAGAGATATTTCTTGTCGTTTCTGGTGCAAATACTTATTTGAGCTGGCAATCAGCACTCATCTACATTCCGAGCGTTGTAGGCAGAGGGGGCTGACCGATGGAGAGCGCGATAGACGCCTGAAGATGTCCGCAGTGTGACACAACAGTACTCGGCGGCGTGGAACCACGCATGTGACACATAGCCCAAACCACATGCGTGGTTCCACGCCGCCGAGGGTTTTGCACTTTAGTGCTTTTCATTTACTTAAGCTGTTGTTCAGTAGTACTTTCCAGGGAGCTCACAAAGAGGGCCCAATACATAGATACCCGATGTAGGTTTGACACCATACCATCTGTATGATAATATAGAGTTTCTCCCAAGATAAGCTTGCAAAATGCCAAGAGGTTGCTAATTAATGCCTGGGCTTCAATATCTTTGCTTGTGTCTCAAAGTGGGAAACACCTGCAGTTTTTTGTGCTCTGTAATAGCTTCCACTAAAATGCAACTGTTCATGTTTTGGGTCACGATAATTATTCAACTATGCAGCACCAGAATTATTAACCTATGAACACAGCCATGCATTGTGAAAGAATTAGGTTTTCAGGAATTTCAGGAATAAGGTGTTAGTTGAAGCGATGGCTTTACCACCTACGTACCTATAAAGAAGTGCAAGCTAAAATACAGCTAGAAGCGACAAAACGGAGAAATATTTTGAGTAATATAATCTGGAACATATTTATAATTGTATTACTAAAAGACACTTGTGAAACTTCAACTCCGCTATGATTATATAGACATTACAGTATGTGTGACAGCTACGTTGACCGGAATGGAGATACACCTATTCAGACAAGTGGGTAGGAGCTAGCTTCGCTCACCAATGAAGAAAACGCTACTAAGGAGTCTTACATAGTATCCAAGGGGAAAACTTATGCTTAAAAACACTTCTTTGCTAGGGAAAATTATACTCCAAAAATAGTGTTTCAGGACTTACAGACACACTAGCTGGATTTGAATTGGGATTATGCAGATCAGCAAAAGGGTCATTCCTCTTTGGTTTGCTGCCCAACATTGGCACTCCAAGTGCACCTTGAGATGATATCTTCAAGCGCACTCTTTCTGCAATTGAGAACCAAAAGATACATAACAAGAGCACATAGAGCTCGCTTAATAGAGCATGCACAGCATTCATAGAAATTACAGTCAACTACTAAAGAAAATCCAATTCATGTCTTTGCCTTCTTCAACTAGAAGCACTAAGTGCAAACCCTCGGCGAACTGCGCATGCGCGATACTGCTAAATCGATGGGCTTGGCTATTTGTACTCATGGTCTCCCGCTAGTAGCTCGCGGAGAGTCTGACACGGGCTAGCTACGGTAGTAGATAGCATGCGGGAGTCGATACATGTCATTCGGTGTGACTTCCAGAGCCCCCAAGGTACACAGAGCGAGCAGATCAGACCGCGGTAAGCCCAGCGCGATTATGCATATTGGCTTTTTCGCTTGTTTTCACGGCATATCTCTCGAACGCAGTCATTTCAGGAAAATCACCCTTTTAGTTTTCAGGTTCGCGTAGCTCTGAAGGCGCTGGTATCGCTAATAGACCGCCTCGTAGCCTGTAGTGTCAGAATAAGCGTCGACAGACATACAGACAAAGTAACCCTCGATGCGCATGCACCCCGAAGGTTATGGGCTGAGTATGAGATGGCCAGATGGATAACACTGCTGTGTGTTCAACTCAGAATCTTATTGCTCCTTCATTAATGATATAATACAGTTGCAAGGACCAGCATTATCTGGCATGCTGACATGAGAGATGGTGGTTAACACCACTGAAAAGCACTAAAAAGTGCAAACCCTCGGCGAACAGCGCGATACAGCTAATTGGCCAGTTGCACGAATGGCACAAGGAATTTGCAGTCTCGTTCGGGCTCCAGCAATGTCTACGGAGAAAATGGAACCGTCCGTACTTAGAGCGGCGCAGCTTTTACGGTATGCTCTATCTTTTGCAATATTATTGGTGAGAATCGCTGCGTGTTACACAGGTATATTTAATTTTGCTCAGATACAGCAATTTTGGAGCTCTAAATAAACGAAATACGGTCAAGTCGTCCGACTATATAAAACCCAACACGTTGCCAGAAATCCATTTTTTTTTCATTTTTGCTGCTTGTACAGCAGGATTGTAGCTCAGTGTGTCGGGAACTCTCTGACTAGCGTACTCTCAGCTGACACGCCTTACAACGTCGACAAACGACGACGACGGAGGACGAGGAGCGGTCGCGGAGGACGACTCTCCAATTGACGAGGCTCGTCTGGAGGCGATCCTGAAGGACCCGCGTTCGAAGGCCGCTCTTCTAAAGAAGATGGGGCTCGGAGACGAAGCGAACAAAGACCACCACCCTACCCCTAGTGGGACGAACACGGGTGGCTGGCCTCCCTACCCACTTGGTTGGCCGGGCTTTATCAAGGATATGGTGTCAGTGAGGGACTTGTCAAGACTAACTGGGACGATGTCGGCGACAACACTGGTGGTCTTGCCAGCTCCACTACACTACAGAGAGCTCCAGGACTTGAAGATACGAACACTGAAGTCCTTCCAGACTATGGTGTTTCTGAACGAGGAATGGAAGGCAGAGGTGGATAGAAATGCTCAACCGGTGGAACGGCCACCCAATTCTCCGACTCACCCCGGACCGACTCACCCCGGACCTCGTCATAGACACAGATGCATCACTCCTAGGCTGGGGAGCGGCCACAGAGCTGGCGGCCTTTGGTCCGAAGAGAAGAGAACCCACCACATAAATCGCCTGGAGCTAGCTGGCGGAGCTCTGGCCACGAAGACTTTCACGAAGGGCAGGAAGAACATCCATGTCCTTCTCAGAATGGACAACACGACGGGCATAGCGTACATCAACAGGATGGGAGGCACAAGGTCTCAGACCCTATCCCAGGCAGGCTGCGATCTATGGCACTGGTGCCTCCAGCAGGTGATAAACCTGTCAGCAGTACACCTGCCAGGCATGATGATCTCCATAGCAGACGGAGAGTCCAGGACACTACAGTCATCAGCTGATGCTCAATCTGTCATATCATGATATGGACCCTGGGGCCATGCTCAGTGGATCTCTTTGCCACTCGCCTCAACAACCAATTGAGGAGGTGTATGTCAGCTGGCGCCCAGACCCGTTCGCAATCGCAACGGACACCTTTACTATGTCCTGGCAGGAGGAAGTCCGGTATGCATTTCCCCCGTTCTCCCTGATTGGCAGATACCTGCACAAAGTTCGCCTGGAGGGTTGTACGGTTCTGGTGACCCCTGTGTGGGATGTCCAGCCCTGGTACCGAGTTCTACTGGACCTCCTAATAGAATACCCTCTGCTACTGCCGTCATACAGTCAGCTTCTAGTAGACCCCTCACCAGCTAGCTGCCTGGAAACTATCAGGGAGACCCACCTTGCAGAAAGAATTTCAGAACGGGCTTCAGCGCTCATCTGGTCAGGATGGAGCAAAGGTACCAACACAGCGTACCAGTCAGGTTGGTCCATCTGGTGTGCTAAGAGGCAGATTGATCCAATTTCAGGGGATGTCCAGCACTTTCTCGAATTTCTAGCGGGCCTCTATCACCAACGCCTACAGCACAGGTCAAAAACTCCATCGGATCTGCTGTATCAATGACCCACAAACAAGTAGCCGGTAGTCATATCGGGCAGCACCCCCTGGCCAGTGAGAGAACTCTCCTCCATGCGCTGCAACCTTCGGTGACTGACCGAGGCTGTACCTCTTCCCAATCTTCATGGTGCGAAGGTGCAACTTGGAAATAAGCTAGATTGCTCGTGCAGATACTGCTGCATGGCAGCTGCCTGGTGGACCACGACTGACGAGCTTAAAGCATAAGGTAAGTACCGTTCTGTTCACCTGCTCACCGTTCTGTTAATATACAGTACGCATATAGCAGCGGCAGGTAGATCTGTGTTGCTTCACGAAAGGAAAGCTGTGTGCTGACGGCACTTTATGCAGCCCGAACATCACGGGCAAATCCCAAGATGAGTCACTCCCGCTTGCCAACAATGTTCAACATTTCCACTAGTGTATTATACATATTTACTCTAGGTCACTTTTATGTGTAACATCAATCTAACATATTATTATGTACCCAAATATCACAGTGATAAGATGTCACATTGCTGCCACATGACAAAATGGCGGGTAAATTGGAAAGGATTCTTTAGGAACAGCATTTCGGCAAAATAGCTAGTGAACATCTGAAATTTGTGCAGCAGTACCACACTCTAGGGAGGTTATCTTTGAGGCCAGGTGCACCCTCACCATTTCTGCATAGGAGGCTAAAACAGTGATTGTAGAGGTCCATATACATTAGGCACAGAAACTGCAAGTCTCAGGGAGTTAAGCTCCCATATTTTATAAATGACAAGCTAATTAGCTGTTTCTGTGCACAGAGCCTGGTTTTGCCGAGGTTCAGTTTTTCAAGGCATCGATGATGTTTACTAAGCTCAGCCTCCAAACTGTGTCATCAGTAATGAACAAGATGCCAGTGCGCGTGCATGTCAGCAGCTGATTCTTTAAAGCTGACGCCAGGTGACACTTGTTATGTCACAACCAAATCTATGATAGAGAGCTACTGCCCCCGGCCCTGGAGTGAACTTTGCGGTGCTCTTGGTGAAACAGCAAGCACTAGGCTATAGCTGTGAGTATGTATGTAAACTGTGATAAATATACTGGCTTGTAATTAATTAAATGAAGGATTTTCGATCGTCTTAGTGTTTGCCACTGTGGCAAAAGAGCTGGGGTGAAGATAGAACACAGGGTTCTCATTGTCCTTTGCTTTCCATTCATTCTTACACATACCTATTGCATAATACATGGCTGTGCATGACCCCACACACTTATTACAAAAATGGCACAATATACATTGTTGTGTAGCTCAAGATCAAGAGGCCACAGATACGTATCTTTGGTACATACACAGTGGCAACCTTGTTCATGAAGGAGAGGCAGGGGGACATCTTTAGTCTTCGAAGGTTTTTGCTTGCTGCTTTGGAGAAGTTTGTTGGGATAATGAGAGATGTCAAACACTTCTGGAAAACTGGACTGCGGTTGAACCCTACAAAAAGAAAGAGCAGTAACAGAATAGGAAGTAATAGTGGGTCAGGTAATGTCAGAAAAAGCATAGTTGGAACAAAGTGGTAACATTTCGACCAGGTCTCAACACAAAACGAGTATGCAATACATGACTACACAAACACAGCTACATATGCACACACATTTCAGGGCCTGTGAAATGTCTACCAGGTTAAATGCTAGCTGACTAGACTGGGGTGATGGCTTAAACCCGATTACTACCATCCCTTTAATCAGCATGATTTTTATTCACTTTTCTCCTCTAAGTTACATGATAGGTGCGAGTGGCCTACTGGGATATACATGAGTGTTTAGTTTATGGTAGAATACATAACTAAGCCATGAGTGTAGTATCCGGTTACACAACAAGCGAAGCCAGCTGTTTTAAAATTCGACTAAATTGTGCCAGTGTCAATAATTGTGCATGGCAAGAGCTCCCATAAAACATTCAGGGCTGCTCAATAGGCTCTGATATACTTGCCTGTACTGTAGTCAAGAGCAGAACGCCACTGTAAACGAAGGCGAATAACTGTTAACCAGTCAAGTCAATGGTTTCCTCCCATGAAAAATAACGAGCTTGTAAAACAAAACCCAAACATTACCAAAAGTCAATATAATTAACTAAAGTTTATATTATGCAATCAGAACTGATGCCCATGCAATTTGGTGAGATAAATAAATGGAGATCATTCTGCAATTTCACCTACAAACACTATTGCACTGAATAATACCTACATACCTTGATTGCAGAACGTTGACTACAGAAATAGAAGGACTTGTTAAAGACACAGTAGTCTGTTTATGGGTATGGGGTGTAGCGGACTCTTGAACGTACACTTGCTGGGTAGATGAGCTAGTCAGATTTGATGGAGTGCCTTCTGTTTGTGGAGCTGTGTGAAAAGTTAAAACAATTACTAGCACCACTAGTAGTCACAGAAAAGCACTGAAAGTGCAAACCCTCGGCGAGCTGCGCATGTGCGATACTGCTAATTGATGGGCAGAGCTAGAGTCTGACATGGGCTAGCAGTCGTAGATAGCATGCGGGAGTCGATACATGCCATTCGTTGTGACTTCTTCAGCCCCCAAGGTACACAGAGCGAGCAGATCAGGTCGCGGTAAGCCCAGTGAGATTAGGCATGTTGGCTTTTTCGCTTGTTTTCACGGCATATCTCTCGAACGCTGTCGTTTCAGGAAAACCGCCACAAACTTTCTGACCTTCATTGTCCGTTAAGTAGGTAGTATCGTTTGTGAGACGAAAAAATATTGGAGAAGTGAGATGTTGAGTAACAGACATAGAGACAGACACAGACAGACTAGACAGACCCAACACCCTCGCTGCGCATGCGTGCCGAGGGTTAACTATGTAGTGAATAACTTTACATGGGCTAATAAGAGGATTGCCTTGTAGTTTTAATATACTGATGGGAGGAACACATGTTTTTATATTAGTGTTTTATCTACAAGAGGTGAACCCCCAACAGTAATAGACAGGTTTAAAGCCCCCTTTCAGGGTGCTCATGTTGTGGGTGTGTTGGGGTAAGCCGGCGCATATGTGGTTTTTATTTAGGAATAAGTTCAGCAGTTATTGCTTTTGGTACATTTGAAGAGGATGCGAATGCTCAAGAAAATCTTTTACCTTTCAGGCAAGGATCCGAGGGTTTATCAAGAATCACCTCATGAGGAATGCTCCTTCATTACCACACTACCAGTGGTTGACGCAACACCAGGGTCCAAGGATTGTCGTCCAGTGTTGGGTCCCCCAACTGGTAGAAGGGGAACTTGCAGCGGTGGACTAGTCAAAACTACTTGACCTTTACTGCAAGAGAATCTTGTGCTCTCTAGTCATCATGGACTAATGCAGTGAAGTGGAGCAGTGATGATCTGGCCTCTGCTAAGTACAGGTTAGAATCTGAAACAAAGGAATTATGTGATATAGTAGGCCGAGGGCCCTTGTGTCCCGAGCATAGCGAAGGTGATACTGAAGGGTTTTGAGCCTGACTGGTTCCTAAGGCGACGATTCAAAGCTGTTGCAGGTTTAGACTTCCATGAGCGTGTAGCAATGTGCTGTGTGTGGACGAAGTATGCACACACACCTTCTCCAATCAACTTGTTCCGCGAATAAGTGGGGAGACAGAGGTCGTGCTTGAATTATTTCTACACATCTTTTCCAATGTCTTCCTTACTCTCTTGCTGTCTTGATCTGCAATAGTGCACACAGGTTTTATTAATGTGTGTCTTTTTTAATGGCTCGACAA